TTTCCCTGACGTTTGTGGACGCGACTGATATTGCATGCCATACAAAAATACGCCAAGCTCATGATTTTGGGTGTATGCAATAATGGCCCAGTTCAAAAACGTCAGAGTGTGTGAACAGGCACACACCAAATGCACGCATGCGCAACACAGACCGGGAGTGAGGGATCCTAGATGAAACTTGGCGTTCCAGAAGTTTTTGCATGCGCATTTGTTGATTAAATAACTCTTTGTACCTACATCTCTAGCCCGTGTTTGTCCCTATATTAGTATTTCTCACGTTTTAGATACATAGATATGCATAACACTGCACGCGGAGTAATCTCTTACTAACCACGAGTTTAAACCACTTCCAAATACTTAAGTGTCCTCTCTGAACGATGTACAAGCAAGCCACCTTGATGAAGCTAAACATATTAATGTGCAGGGCCAGGATCAGGGCGTGCTACCTACCAAGCTGAGTCGAAATCCCTACCAAAGGTATAGAGAACAGTAGACTATAAGCGAAGCACGTGGCAGACAAGGTGTGCCGTCATGTCGGGCCATATTCCCTACTCCATGTATGTACTAAGTATTGTAGGGGTACAACCTCTTCACCATTTACTTAGACAGGACGACTGTAAATTGACTTCCTAGCTGTGATTAATACAATTAATTAGTGGGACTGATCATGAATGAATTCAACTAGTTGGGTGTATAAATAGATCTTAGTGGTGATATGTAGGTGCAGGACCGGTGTTGTGGTGTGAATACATACATACAAGTATAGGTGTGAGTGACTTATCCGACTACCCCATGCCCTCCCCCCCGCCTATGCGGCCATGTCAGAGTGTCTCCGAAAACCCGGACCGGCCATGTCGGCTGCGCAGCTGCTGTCAAGTGCACGGTCATATGTATGGGCATTAACGAACTCTACCAATAATAATTTTGTGACCTGACTTCTTCACCTACTCTACTACCTACCTACTCCGCAGTAGCTCTCCATCTTTCACTCCAAAATACCTATCTGGGTGAACCTCTTCGGAATTCTCTATCCCATGATCCAGTCCCGACGTTCAATTTATTCTCTTGGCGACCGTCAACAGCAACTCGAGGCTCAACTCGAGGCTCAAAAGTGAAACAATAGTGCCTGGACGTTCGCTTACGGCTGGATGATCTGTGTAACGTGACCCGAGTTGGCTGTCCGTAAGCTGCCGACGTGAGTGACGATCAAAAAGAAATTTTAAACAAAGTGGGACGTGTTGCCCGGCCAAATGGAGGGAGGTACATGTAGGTTTGGTTGAAGATGATCATGTCAGTAGCTAGGCAGCTGGCACCTAACTAAGGCTCAACCAATGCACAAGGCTCAAATGCGGCGCGGAACCTCCCCAAATGAATACACCTACATACAGTCACAGTCAGCAGCTATACATTCTTTGAACTAAGCCCGAAATAATCCGCAAGATGAAATAATCAGTAGTTTGATACGTATGAGCATGCTCTCGGAAGTCTTGAACGACGCCTGTACAATCGTTGCATTGATCTTGTGACCGTATTCATGACAAAGTTTAATGATACCACCTTGGAATAACATTTCTCGGGGTTATATCAGTGACCGTTACATAGTTTGGTTGATTCCAATTAATCGATCTGGCCAAGCGGGCCGGAAGCTAGCTTCTGGAACTGGTGAGCCTGATCAAAGAGCTAAAGATAGTGTTTATAGGCTTAAATCCCCAAGCCATCTAATGGTGTAGTGATAACTTAGGCCCTTTAGAGTTGTCAGTTCTTAGGAAGTAAGAATCGTTCTCTAGGGTTTTGCTTCATAGGAGCTTAGGCCTTCGTTCATATTGCAAGTACACATAATACAGACTCTCAATCCCGAGCTTGGTGAAGTTTCTGTATCCCTTGCGATAATATATTGATGAATATATCAAATTCGAGTATAGATAATATGTGTGAGTAATAAAGGATGAAGCTCATAATGTCATAACGCCGACGCCGCGTACGTGGCCTGGGTACGATGCAGAACGTTCACTCTCTCCAGAAGTGCAATGCAATACGTCATTCCTCGCTCCAAAAGATACCCCGACCCCCAAAGACTCGTAAAATACACTTCGAGCTCCAAGATGTATTTTATTAGGCATCTCTTAAACTTCCATGCCAAGGAAAAAACAGTGCCGTAGACACACACCATACCTCTGTTTTGGCCTACTAAGAAGTTGCTCTCTACCTCTAGTAAACACGCACGAATGTTTGAGGGGGTAGTCTCAAAACTGTTTACTAACCCTAATCCATGAGTCAGATCGCAGTTTTATTCATGATTTATCACTCGATATATAATATTCGGCGGAGTCACGGGATTTATTTCCTTTAAGGTGTATCGTATACGAATGAGGTCTAGAGATCTACAAATGATTAGGTGGTTTGGATCGATACTAGATATGAGAGGGAACTACTGCCGCCACTGTACTTTAAAGATTACAGCTCTAAAGTCATGCACCTACACCTAAATCATCTAACTAGACGCAGATTTAAAATCTTTTACGTGCTGATTGCTAGTCATGAGTTATCACTCGGTCCAAGATCTATCAAGGTGGGTGCTAACTCATTAGTTACAAGTGGAATGCGGCCTACGGCCGCAAATTTATATATAGTTGGCGAATAGAAGCTTTCAGCGTCGTCATCTAGTCTGAGTACTTATTAAGAGCGACTGGGCGAAAAAATGTGTTTGTCTTTAGGTCTTTAGGGCATGCAGCGGCACGCCCAGTCCATGATCCACTCCTAGGTGAATAACAGAATCGAATCGGTCGGGTCCAGTCTAATCGTGTAAGCATTGTATTATGTGGGTAATTCTACAGTTATACCAATTCTTCCTTCTCAATGAGCTGGCTCGCGAACCCTCCTCGCTCGCACGAGCTCTACCTGCCAGTGTTTGCCCTTTCGATGCCAGCTCCCTTCCCAGTATCCCCGGGTCCTATTTCGGGAACAGTTCTTTGTCTGTACATATATATGTGCTTCTATATGTGGTATGCAGACCATACATTCTAACCAATAGAAATGCTTCGCGATGACAATGATGAAGCTTATACTGTTTAGATATGTACTAGAGATCTACGGTACTGTATTAAGTTGACGAAATAGGTACCAAGTTAGGAGTGAAACCCAATCCAACAAAACTTTAATCAATATACAATGTGGTTATAAGTAATGAATGAATTATCAACCAACTAACCAATCAATCAACGTGATGAGTTGATTTACCGGCGATTGTGCATCAAATACAATTTTTCGAGCTCGGGCCTCCCCGAAAGATTACGAAGGGGATAAGAAAAACAACGTAACAAGAGTGAACGTCTCACCTAGCTAGGCAAGTTTGGTGGCCTTTACCTCCGCAAGACCAATAGCTATCGTTACCATCCATCGATAAATTATTCAATCCGCAAAAGCAATGTCTCCTATCTACTCAAAAGCAAGTATAAATATACGAATTATTTCTATGGGACCGGTACAATTTTCTGATTTTGCTTTTCAAGTGCAGTTCTCTCATCGTTACACCCTTAAGCTTTGCAATGTTTCAGATGGTCATTCCCCCGCGGACAGCTACATATCCTTAAGATTGTATCAGTCATGACTGGTGGTGATAGATCTAACTAGAGGAATGGTTATTGAAGGAGAGTTGTTATATAAGCTAGTGATAGCCCGCATTATTCCGCGATAACTAGCTGTAGCACATACGAAAGTTAACAAGCCTTATTTACACGGAAGGCGACACAAACATCATTCATTGATAACGCAAATAAACGAAAAAACGAAAGAAAACTCACCCATCCATCAATCGCCAAGCTAAGCTCAAAAAGCAACTGCATTCAAGTACAGTTGCACCTCGCTATGGCGGAACTCAATATGCCGGATCCCTTGCTGTCCCGTATGAAATTTCTTGAGAATTCTATTTTTCTACTGCAAAATCAATTTGCTATCCCGAATTTCTTGGGAATATTTGCTATCCCGTACAAGATTTGGTGAATCTTGGCCATCCGGCATAGCGAGGTGCGACTGTAATGATTCCCACTCGTCCATTCCCCACTTCAGCCACAAAACTAACTCCAAAAATAATCCGCGGTAACGGCAAGGTATGTGGCAGGGTCTTCCGGGAGTAGAAGTTGTTAGGAAATTTATGCCGACAGTTAAGGATTTGTAAGTGAGGCTCATAAATCATGCTCAGACGATCGGCACTAACAATCCAGACCACAGTCAATGACAATGACTTCCGGCTTATCCCACATCAATTATCTTATCAGGGTGGGGTTTTGTTCTATCCCCGAACGGAGGGGGTAGTGAGGTATGCGCGAATATTAAAAAGAAGTAAATATAAATCCGGTAAGGCCCATTCCCTCCTTCTTGGCCCCTATTTATTACAAGTTCGATAGGACGAGCACCTTGCTAGCTGTGTTATGGTATCCGCTCCTCTTTATGCGCCTACAGCAGATCATCACGTTTCTCAAATTCGGATTTATTTAAAAAAAAAAAAAGAAAAGAAAAGAAAAAAACACAAGATAAAAATCATTTATTTCCTTCCTTGATGTGGGAACAATTTATCCTAGAAAATTTGTATCTTATCGACTTGAGGCGTCGGAATCGAAGAAAATGAAAGGATGGGGAAAAGAAGAGGGAGAAAGTTTACGAAATAAGACCAAAACCATAGATGCGCACTCCACTAGCTCCAGTAGAAGAGAAGGAAAAAAATAGATACCAAGCGACAAAAGGCCAACCACTCATTAACAAACAAGAACAACAAAAGGAAATAAAAAAGCAAATAGAAAGATAAACCGTGATGAACCGAGGGAAGAAGCAAGTAGAGGACAGGCTTCTCTTCCTCTGCGTCTTCGTCCCCTCATCATGATCAGGAGGAGTCTACGCCAATATCAATCGCCAGTGCCCACCACCTATAAGAAAAACATTGAAAGCACGTTCTAATCACTAATACCATATAGTCTGGTCACCATGGCCCGAGTCTTGACATGCATTTAGGATGCAATTGCCATCTCAGCCCGTAGTTTCCGCAGCTCTTCCTCGTCGTCCTCTTCTTCATGGATTGGTACTTTCCCTTTGACTAGTTTTAAGTTAGTTCTCCCCCAAAAGACATCTCGAAGATAAAGTACAGGGACCTTACCAGCACTGATATGGGGTGTTGATGTGATTGGTGCAGATGGGGCGCCAAGCATCTTGTCGTCCAGCACCTCTTGCTCCAATTCGGCGAGTTGTTCGTTGAGATCATCATCTTCAGCTGGATTCATGTTGATAATGGCATTGCCGATCTCGTCGGCAATTTGTTGTTGTTCTCGGATTTCTTCCCTACATGTATGATATTATATTAGTAATCTATTTCTTAAGGTGGAGAAGAAAAAAACGAATGAGGTCATAGCAGTAAGCAGAAACCAAACTAAACCCATGCTCTCTGCCAAAGCTAAGTTCCCCAAATATAAAAAGAGTTGTTTCACATACATTGTCTCGTCGACCTTATCCACATTCATACCACCATGTATGACTTTCATTGCATTGCTAGCACTCTTCATGACCTTGAGTGTCTCAACGTTCAGGTTTGCCGTCTCGACTGCGTGCATTTGCTGTTCCAAGGTTGCTATTTGTGATTGAGTAGAAGTCAAATGGTTCATGTGCATCTTTTTGCGTTTGAGCGCGGTCATCGCAGCTATCTCACTGTTAGCCCCATACCCGGAATCTCGAGATATGCACACCAAACTACCACCCCCGAACCTATATGCCCTGCATAGCCCCAGCGCAACGGTAGATAACATCTATATTAAAACACCCCAGCCCTTTCGTAAAGGCATCGGACACAAGGACCTCAGGCATGGTTCGGGAGGCTATGATGGTATAAGAGGGGGAGGGGAAATCGCGAACCTGTCTTATTGGTTTGCACATTTTTCCTCGCGATATTGTCCTGTTCTTCTATTTGCTGCTCAAGATGCTTCTCCTTCTTCTGGAGCATCTCCAGCTGTTGCCTGACATCGAGGATAGCCTTCTTCGGAATATCCTTCTTCTTTGCCGCCGAGGGACCAAATAGCATGTTCCACATTGTGGGTGACGTAACGAGTTGAAGGGACCTGAGCTGGCTTTTTTGTGGATATATACTGAGAGAGAGAGAGAGAGAAAGCGAATGATGGAGGTAGTCTAAGTCGTACTGCGAATGAAGACGAAGGTGGAGATGCTATGGGGTCGGGAGACGAGGTTGAAGTTACGGACCTGGGCTGACGAAGCTTGGTGTAGTCACAAGCCTGATGATAGAATGACTCAGCAGTTTCTGTACCACACGCCACAATCTTTATCTACAAGTCACAATCTTTATCTAGCAGCCACAATCGGATCTTAATAAGAGGAATAGAAAACAGATCAACGCAAAAGATCAACTTCCAAACTGGTAGTCGTGAGGCTCTTAGTAGTAGTTAGTACTAGTGATCAATTATACAGCGGTATCAACAGCAAAAACTACCAGTCCCGCGTTAGTTTCTCCTTTGACCCTAGACCGCTGATCTTTTTTGTTATTGCCAAAAACTCGGATAGCTTAAACTCTAATTACCGCATAGAAAATTTTTTTTATCAAGGGGGAAGAAAAAAAACATCCACATCTCGTTGAATCCAGAGATATCCACGAGGACATCTACAAGTTCCTTATCAAGCAGGCATCATGATAACGGCCAATAATTTCAAAGTGGCTGACTCATCACACTATGTAGCTTGATGTGATAACACGGTCTTAGTTCGAAAGCTGAAGCTCAAATAGAGATAACAAATCTGTGACCCTATTATTTTGCTCTTCGAACTACCAAATCGCTCCTCAGCACCCATTTCCCAACTCCACCATCCTCACTTACCAACCTACCCTCATGCAGCATACAATCCCTCCCATGCCTGTGTAATAGTGCCAGTCCCTTTTCTGGCTCCACAACAATCTCCTCACTTTTTAGCTTCTTCGTAGCTTCTGTGTAGAAAACTGTTTCCCCGCCGACTATACCATCAGCAGGGCCTGTGAGGTATATTAGTAGTGTCCATGTTGTCTCGCAGGGTAATCTCGAAGACCCAGAAGCGTTGGATGTGGGGAATGAGGGAAGGAGGTTGGAATCGTCATCTATGCTAGTAGTTAGAACCAAAAAGAAAAGAGATTATGCATGGATACAGACAATGTTTGTCAAAAAACTGCCCCTTCATATATCTATAGATCCTGATATTCGGATTTAACCCCACCACTTCTCCGCCCCACAGCCCCACCTGATCTTCCTCTCTTTCAACAATCTCCTTGAGTCCACTCTGCTCCCATAAAGTCTTCGCAAACACTTCGTCCATGGTTTGGAACCGATCATTAACGCGTACTGCTTCACCTTTCTTTGGCTTGCCGGGGGTTGTTGTAAGCGATACATTTTTCTGGAGGAATGAGAGGTATGTGTTGCATAGAGTTGATGTGAAGAAGTTTGGGACCGTAACGATTTGCTCTGGGAGGATTGACTGCAAGGAGAGTGAAGAGGCAGGGAGGAGAGGATGGAGACGTGGCCAAGAAAGAGTGGGTGAAGATACTGGCGATTCTTTCGGCGGGAGGTTTTTGGCAGATTTTTTGGGTGCCATTTTGCACGTTGATGATGGGTAACTTACTGGTACTGGTTGAGTCCGTGATGAGATGATGCTAGGATTCGTCGATAAGCAAGGCGCCAAGTACTCTGTTAACGTTGCATGATTCACTAAAAATTAGATAAGTACATGTGAATGATAGTACCGACAGGTTATTCATTCCCGGATTGAACAAGTTGGTCTCTTTTTTTTTTTTTTTTTTTAAATCATGTAGTTCTATTGTTTCTAGGTACAAAACTCTGCATGCAGTCATAGACTATGGCATAATTGAACAAGTTGGTCCTCTACTAGCATAATATAGCAGGCGTAACTACACGTATCATGATTCCGCCCGAGCACTGTATGCCGGTATAGCAGTAAAAACAACTCGACTCTGCGGATCGGTGTAGGTCGTTACGGTGGTGCTTATACTACACAGTGCACTACATTACATATTGTTAGTCAAGATATATGTGCACTCTAGTTCACCTAGGCTCGAAACGTCAAATGGTCTCTATTATTCCCGATCCCACCGGCCCACTGTCTCCACAATATAAAGTCGCAGCGACGTCTAAAGGCCAGTCCCATATCCTCTTCCTCCTTCGTCTCCAGGGTTCATATCTGTATACTTATGTACCTAGGTCTACTGTTATACAGTAGAGATCTTACATCTCGTGCATGGCTAATATCGATATCTGTAAATGTATGCTATGTAGTTAGTTATAAGTGCGTACGTATAAGTCGGCCTGGGATGGACAAGAGCTTAGAAGGGCCGGCCCGGCCCTAGGCCTGATATTAAGAGAGCAAAGACGATAACCACATATTTTTTGAAGAGTGAGAAGGGTAATTATTTTTGGTTAATCGAGGTCTTTTTTATATATGTACTACCAGTTCGACTAACTGAGACTATCGCTATTTCACTAGAATTGCTTGAGAACTGTTTTCATGCTCCGGTTCCTCTTAGCTTTAACCTATGAGGTTTATACGTATACGTATATGTATTTGAGCTATGTAGGCCGGCGCCGCCCATAGTTATATAGTTAAACTACACTGCGCTCCGTACGTTAAAGTTATCAACATAAACTCTACTCTACATCAGCCTCTAGTTATGAAGTGGATAGCCATCAAATGCTTCCTCTTTGATAAAGTGACGCTTACTTATATAGTAATATATAGAAACTTCCATTTATAGCCCATCAGGACAATTGGGTCCGATTAGATTTCAACACGTGCTTGGCAGACCAACCAGGTTATGTACATAGTCTATGTAGCTACACCTACTCTAGAGTTTTAATAAAACACACCAATGTTGTAGAGTACAAGCGCGGGTATCGAAACACCGCTATTCTCATCGCAGACTTGGCTACCCGGTGGGGGCAGAATCCTATTGGTCCCGGTCTCGTTTTAAACAAGCTGGGTGGTTTTGTTTTTTTGTGAAATGTGATGCGGTTGAATGTATGGGAGATGCTCATCAACTGGAGCAAGTAGGTACGTTGTTTACTACAGGTATGTTTGAGATGAGGCGATTTAGCCATCCATTGGATCTTGCGACCATCTAGAAGGCAGTCCAAAGGCTTATTTTGTATTGATGGATGGGTGGTGAATTGCGTCACACACACGATAAGGAAAAGGAATTATAGTGTGTACTATGCAGTGTTGCGTGACACTCGTTACTTAGTTGACGTCTCTTGTTTGCGATCTCGGTCATTGCATAGCTATATATAGCTGGCAGTTTCTGACAAGTATAATATACTGCTAGTGCGCCTCGAAAGGATCAATGGCAATTTCAAGGCTTTTAATATTTTGGTCAATGAATCAACGCAGCACAGTTTGCGGGTTCACATCTCCTCGGTGTTAACTATGTAGAATATATATCATATTATCTTGATCGCCGGGACAGACGAAAACTTATCACGACCCGACCACCCGTATACTTATTCCCTCGGATCATTTATATTTAGGTTTTCACCTCTGCACCCGCGTACGTGTGCAGATAACCAAATGCAGTTTCAATCACGACTTATTGTAATTAATAGTTTCAATTTTGCTAATTAATAGCACGGCAGAACGAGCACCGAGATGAAATTTGAAACTCGTGACATCTTGTACTCACTGCATGTACCGGTACATTTTTTTTTATTTTTTTATTCATGTAGTTTTATTGATTCTAGGTACAAAACTCTGCATGCAGTCTTAGGCATAAAAGCGCATGTACCGGTACATGATGGTGTGTTTAATACATCTATGCTGCTATGTACCTATATCAGCATTAGCTATATAATACTGTAGCATGCTTCTCCCACATTTAGACTAGGCTATGAGTAGAGTACGAAAATGGAACAGACGGGAGTAATTCCATGGACTTCGTCTTTACAGCTAGCTATGGGTATAATTATGGCCATGGTTACAATTATGGCCATGGTTACAATTATGGCCATGGTTACATGCAGCTATTGATGATAAGGTAAATAATAAAGTGCCTTATGTATGTACCTCTAGATTAACCCACCTCAGGATTTTTCCCAGGCAACTCCCGAACCCTGCTTACCATCACTCACCGACAATCCATCACCTTCTTTTTCTGCCCAACCCTCTTTTGTTTGTGTCACACCCTAGGCCAATGATCGACCAAGATCCCTGGGTCTTGGCAATAAACCCTACCTTTCTCGGTTCTATTGCCTTCCGTCATTGCGCATCACGACCTCCTCTTGCACATGTCTAGCTTTTGGAGGATCTTATTGCAATTTTTATCAATACAATACTGGCAATATACATTACAGCAGAAAAGTGCGTAGCTAGCCTATTATTCAATATTCTATTTGATATTGTGGGGTAATCCGGCAGAAAGGTAAACTCTGGGGGTAGGTGAGACTTTATTTGATCGATTGTTTCGTTTACTTTTAAATTTGTTTACATCTACTTGTTGAAACTTCTAACAACATCAGAGCTTCAGGTTGAATTGACTTCTACCTGTGATTGGTCTTAACTTATTCTTATAGGCGAGTACCACCAAATATTAAGCTTCACCATACGTTTCCTTCTAAATGCGCACGTGTTCTTACACATCTTGAGTAGCATCTAGTGTTGAAACCAAACATATTCTACCATCCCGAGGACGTCAATACCTACCTATAATAGCTAGGTGTGCTCCAAGATGCATCTCATACATCACATCCTACCCCTGATATGCCTCCTATTCCTCCAAGTACTCTCCCAAGATGAAGCTGTAGGAGACAAATACCTGCTCGGCGTTGGTCGCGCCGATGTCACTGGGCCCGTCGTTGAGATCGGAATGATGGGGTACGCCGACCTTGCACAGAAAGGATCAGGCCTTCGACAGCGAATACATTCTCGAGCGTTTATAGTTGCAGATGTGAACAGTCCGGGGGACAGGTTCGTGTATGTGAGTGTGGATGTGCAAAGTGGTGATACAGCGATAAGGGATGGTGTTCTAAAGGGGCTGGAAGCGGCGTTTCCTGGCGTTTATGGGCAGAACAATGTGGCTGTGGTGGGGACGCACAGTCATGCTGGGCCTGGTAAGTACCGATATCTCATCTTTGACACTCTGGAGTGATAGTTCATTTCTTGTTGTGGAACCTAAATTAGAATTAGAGGCTGTTGTTGGGTTGTTGGGAATCTGAAGTGGAATTGAGTTGCAGGAGGGGGTCAAAGTTTATTTTACTGTACCTGAGAGCTTATTCGGATCACTTTAGGTGCATGGCTCAATTATCTACTCCCCCAGATAACGACGCAGGGGTTTGATTCGCAGTCGTACACCGCTATCGTGGAGGGTATCGTTCTCTCTATTAAGCGGGCTCATTCATCGCTCACGCCGGGCTATCTATCCTTGCTAAGGGACTAGTAAGTGATGCAAACGTCAATCGTAGCCCTTATGCATATGAGGCAAACCCGGCGGAAGAGAGAGCAGAGTATGGAGATGTGGGTGGAGATGTAGATAAGGAGATGACGGTTCTTTCTTTTAAGAAAGAAGATGGCACGCCTCTTGGGTCTGTGTTCCCTGAGCATATCTTCCATTATAATGATCTATTACACAAGGACTTATCATTGACTCTAAAAAGCATTACAGGCTCCTCAATTGGTTCCCCGTTCATGGGACATCTCTCTATGGGAATAATACACTCATCGCTGGGGACAACAAAGGCTACGCCGCTCTTCAACTCGAAAAAGATCTCGGAAATGGCTTTGTAGCTGGATTTTCTCAAGCTAACGTCGGCGATACATCTCCAAACACTCTCGGACCAGTCTGCCAGGATACCGGACTAGAATGTAGATACGAGGACTCAACATGCAATGGGGTCTCTCAGCAATGTCGAGGTCGCGGTCCGGCGTTCCAAATCTCCGACACGGAATCGTGCCGCATTATCGGGCAGACACAGTACCTGGGAGCGAAGCGGATCTACAACAGCGGTAGTAGCGGCAGCGGTAGTGGTAGTAGCGATAGTAGCGCAGCGCAGACACCCGTGTCCGGCGACGGTGGGATCGTGCGCAGTCTACATACGTTTGTCGACTTTGGAGCAGGGTACGAGTTTAAGCTCTCTAATGGATCCATGTGGAAAACATGCAAAGCTGCGTTAGGGTTCAGCTTCGCAGCTGGAACCACGGATTGGCCGGGTTTCGCGGATTTCACACAGAACGATCCAGGCGCGCCTAGTAACCCGTTTTGGCTACTTGTTAGGGATTTGTTGAAGACTCCGACTAAGGAGCAAAAGGATTGTCATGCTCCGAAACCAATTCTGCTGAACGTAGGTGAAATGGATCAGCCCTATGCTTGGTATGTCATAGCTTTCTTTTTGGTTTCTTTCTTTTGTTTCTTTCCTTTTTTTGTCCACTTTCTCGATGAGTATCGGTGCCCCTGGAGGTTTGAGATTCTCATCGTGTCTATCGTGCTTCCTCTTCTCGATCACTACAAGATCAAATGACATAAAATCTTGGTGAGAAGGGAGTAAGAAGATATGATAAAATTCTATTATTCTTCCTCGCCCGAGCTTCCATGCAGAAGATCGGAAGCTAATGCTCTGGTAATGAATCCGTTAGGACACCGAATATCGTCGATATTCAAATGTTCCGCGTAGGGCAGCTCGCCATTATCGTAGCACCTGGAGAAGCCACGACGATGGCAGGACGTCGCTGGAAAGCAGCCGTAGCTGATGAACTCGACAAGTTGGGAATAATTAGTAAAGAATCCGGATGGACGGTTATCGGGGGGCCAGCCAATTCGTACACGCACTACATCGCGACTCCTGAAGAATATGCCATACAGAGATACGAAGGTGCCAGCACACTTTATGGGCAATTTACGTACGTGTCTGAAAATAATTCTCTTTTTTTCCCGGTACCTTTATTTTCACCTTTGAAACCCCCCCTACGAACTCAATTCGAAACTCGCCCGACTGTGTGGGTTGTATGTCTTGAATCTTTTTAGGATTCTTCGTCTTCTTCAATCTGTTCTTCTTGGCGCTTCCGGTTGCTAACTTTGGAGGGAGCATTTCTGCTTCGTTGAATGGAATAGCTTGGATGCATACATATCTCTTTACAAGACCTACGCACCGTACCTCGCCGCAAAAGTTCCGTCAACTCCCCTGCCCACGGGCACTAAACCGCCGATCAACACCAATAATTCGATCTCGCTTATCACTGGCGTGGTGCAAGATAGCCCGCCACTAGGAAAGAGCTTCGGGAGTGTCCTGACAGACGTTATGGGTCCGTACCAGATCGGCGCCATGGTAAAGGTCGTCTTTGTCGGGGCGAACCCGAGAAATAACCTGAGACTGGAAGGAACATTTGCGGCGGTTGAAAAAAATGAGTCGGGGACGTGGGCTAGGGTTAGAGATGATACCGATTGGAACTTGGTCTACGAGTGGAAGCGGACAGAGGAATTGACCGGACAGAGCAAGGTTACCATTACGTGGACGGTTGAATCGGGTACACCGGCTGGGCAATATAGAATTAGGTACTATGGCGACTCAAAGGCGCTTTTTGGAGGGAAAATCACGGCGTTTGAAGGCGTTTCGGGGGTGTTTAATGTAGTTTGAGGGCAGAGAGCATGGGGATACCGAATTTGGACCGGTCCATGTGTGTAAGTATAATTTTGGACGGGGAAGCAAGCCGATTGTTTTGATCCTGTCCATAGACAAATTTATTTGGGTTTGTGTACTATTATTTTTTTGGAAACCCATTCGAATTTCACATGTGGAAGGATAGACATGTATGTGGTAGGTTTTTAGTGGGTGTGTGGTGTAGAGGTGCGTGGGCGTAGAGATAAGGAGCGATTGGGTGGATGTGTGTGCTTTGCATATTGTTGAGCGCGCGTTTTGGATTGATAACGGCCTGAGTAAAAATGGATGATCTTTCGTAAGATGTTGATAGGTAAGTGAGAAACCATGGCACTCGGAAGCGTGCAAGAACAGGAGTTTCTGCAAGAGTATCGCAATATGGACCGTGAGCAGCAGCAGATAATATGTGGTAAGCTGTACATACATTGAGCAGGTAGCTGTGCACCTCTAGAGCTGTATTCTACATATCCTGTACTCGTACTTTCCTAACGTTTGTAAAAGGGACCACTATTGCATACCATACTAAAATTTGGACTTGGCGCGTATTTGTATGGTATGCAATAGCGGTTCCTTTTACAAACGTCAGGAAAATACGAGTACTTCTATGTACATATGTACATACTTACTCGGATGTAGTCTAGATAGCATTAGGGGTGGGGTCGGACAAGAGGACAGACGAGGAAGTGGGAGGAACGAACCGGGGCAGGTTTGGGGAAGGGGTGGTGGTGGGTGTGTGGAGGAAGGAGGTCTAGGGATACTACTCTATTCCCACCGCCGCAGCAGTGTCATCCATTCACACTCTCTTGCCTCACTTGCCTTCCTGCTTGCAACTTGTCTTCGGGCTATCTATGGCAATATTATTCCGTATGCAGCAGGCCTGGGCAGCGTAGGTTGGGTGCACAAATTGCTGAAAGCAATGACGTTTTATGCGACCTGTAGGTCCTTTTGGTGCGGTGCGCCTCATGCATGGCCCATGAGGGAGAGGTTTTTTTTTTTTAACAGACATTATCTTGGCAATTTGGCATTTTCAATTAAACTTGGCAGCAAGGTCTGGTGTGGACAAGGGTTGAGAGGTTGGCGTTACCGCAACGGGGAAACGTTCACGAAGTTTTCTGTGGCTGGGGTTTTTCTGGGAACGGAAAACGGAGAGGCAAGCCCGTTGGAAACATTTTTTTTTTCGTAATGCAGATAGAGCACTGCAGAGGATGCATATGTCTGTTGTTTATGGGGCCGCATTCTGTTTCTCTGACCGTTCTGAGAAGTTGCTCACGAACCGTGGCAAACAGATTGAGCGAATGAACGAATAATGTCGGGGTGACTGGGTACCTATCTCATCTCTCGCTAGCCATCTGGCCTGTGCCTGCCTTGCCTCTGCTGCTGGATGGACGGTGAATATGGATATGGATGTGAAATGTGGATGTGGATGTACCTCTCATGTATGGTGTTTGGATGATGCTGGATGCTTGCTGCTGCATCTGATTTAGAGTAGTTTATCCTGCGGTACGCCCTGTGCCTCACAAGCGACTCCAATAATCTCGTCACCTAAGCAACACCGTTCACGGCTGGCTGGTGCCAGGCAACATGAGTAGATACGGTCTACGGCATACGGTTACAGACTACGGCGGTCTACCGGCTTAGTTGCCTGCTTCTGCTTTTGCTTCTGCCTCACACAAGGGGAAGGACACTTATCGTTCGCCCGCCCAACTTTTTCCCTCTTAATTTCTTTTTTTTCCTATGCCCAGCCAAAGAGAAAGTACCTAGTAGCCCACCGCCGCCGACAGCCAACTTTTCTTCTTCCGCCTACTGCACATTTCTTTTTGCTGCATACTTCTTCGTCTTCCACCATTGAATTGAACTGAACTGATTTGATCCACCCAATTCAAATCACCTACCTACCCACTCCTGCTTCAAGTTACTTACTGCTTGCTCTATTGCTTGCACCATACCACCTACTGCACCATACATATCACCTACTGCGCACTACTATTGCCTACTGGATTAACTGACTTCCACTCTCCTGCTTTTGCTTTTGCCTCTCATACCTCTAAACCACTACTGCAATCAGTCCGCGACTACATACCACCTACCGTTCTGCACTGCACTGACCTGCACATCTTCCGCGGTATTTTTCTAAAAGAATTTTATCCTTTGTGAAAAGATTGGGTTGCATACGGAGGCAATTGAAGATTGGAATCGAATTTATTCACAGGTACGACCACCTTGATCCGCTGCTTTCTGCTCGTCCTCGTCCTCCTCTTGATACATTATCTATTCCTCTATCTATATCGCCCCTCTCCCACATCTTCCCTATCTATCTCACCACCTATCTATCTCTATCAACCACCTCTATATTCCTCTCCCTTCATCCTCCTTCTCCTCCTCATCACACCTCTCTATCTCTCTTAATACCACATATACTATCTTGAAGGGAATTACTCACAGTGCGCTTTTTTCTATAGATTCTACAAAACACTTTAATAAGTGACCCGAACACAGTCTTATCAAGCGGCCTATAATTACAAGCCAAAATGACTGGATACTTTACTTTCAAATGGTTTGTTCCTCATTCCTTGATTTTTCGAACATTCGTCTGGTTACTACCTCATCACCTACCTCATCACCGGTGGACGAATGTGGTGGTGGTGGTGGTGGTGGTGGTGGTGGTGGTGGTGTTTATTCCTTTTCGGTCGTTGCACTGTCATGCTCGCAGGCAACCACTAGGAACCAGTCATTTGTCGTCGTCGTCGCCTTTCCTTCCCGGGATCTCGGTGTTACGGCTCGATACTTGGTTGTTGCCTGCCTGCCTGCTTGCCTGCCTGCTTGGTTGCCTTGCTCGGCCCCCCGCAAAAAGTTTAGTAGGGAATATCGACTGATTGGTTACTGTTTGTAAAACAGGGCCTACCCAGCTGGTGAGGTTTACGTCACCGGTACTTTCGATGACTGGAAAAAGAGTACAAAGCTGGAGAAGGAGGGAGAAGCCTTTGTTGCGAAGGTAGAACTACCAGTTGAGAAGACATTATACAAGGTACGTTTTGTTTTATCGATTCTCTCTTTTTTTTGTTTACGATCTCTGTTGTTTCTGGCTCTTTGTGGTTGGGTTACTTCTGGGATACCCGTTTTCGTTCATTTTAAGCTCCGCATCTGGAATGCTGGCGTGATGTCGCGCGGATTTCGGATCCCGAGTGGGGTTTGATTAGACTCATCTATGCCTACCTCTTCTTGAGTGGGGCGGGGTTGGTCTTTTCAGCTCTTCAGTAGCATGATCATTTCCTAGCCACATATAACTAATGCAGTCTTGCTGATTCTTGTTACTCGCCATAGTTTGTTGTAGACGGCGACTGGGTCGTTGATCAAGCAGCACGCAGAGAATTCGAAAACGGAATCGAAAACAACCTTTTGATCCCCGAAGATATCGTCCCTGAGCAGTCAGAAGAGAGCAACATGTCAGCCGCTACTATCAACTCTGCTGCCCCCGAATCATCTACAGCTGCACTCGCAGCTGGAGTTCCTCTAGAGAACACCCCCGCTGTTTCTACTCCCGGCCCCACCGATGTCCCGGGCGGCTTCATCGAGACCCCAGCTGTTGAGAAGGAGGCACAGGAATTCTCTGTTAAGCCTCTTCCAGCTTCCGATACTGCAACAAACCCCTTTAACCTCGCTCCTGGTGAACCAATCCCAGCGAATGATGTCACCACTAAAGATATCAACAAGCACGTTAAGCTTGATGAGGAGTCATACGAGAAGGCAGACGCCTCGAACCTCGGTTTCGGTCTAAATGGAGCTCCTGTTCTCCCTGACGTTGTTACCCCTGCTGCCCAGCGGGAAGCTGAGGGCCGTGGTGTCCTTGATATTCCGGTTGTCACCGGCAACACCATCCCCGAAAGTTCTCTTCCGATCACCAGTACCGTTGCAGCTATGGCAGCTCCTGAAGTTCCTGAGATCGTGAAGGAGAGTCAGGAGAAGGCTGAGGTCGAACCCGAGGCTTCTGCTATCCCTGAAGTCGTTGAACAGAAGAAGGAAGTCGAGGAGGAGCTCAAGACCGAGACCTCCAAGGTCGATTCAAACACCACTGTCGGCGGAATAATGGCTGCTGCCGGTATTGCCAGTGCTTCTGGTGAATCCAACGAAGAGACTACCCCGGCTTTTGTTCCAGAAATTGTTCGGGACTCCCAGAAAGTGGCACAGGTCGCACCTGAAGCTAGCGCTGTCGAGGCTGCCGTTGAGGCAAAGAAGGAGGTTGAACAGGAGCTTCTCCATGATGCCCCTTCAGTTACCCTCAACGCCGTACCCACTCAGCACGCTGTTCCTGAAGCCGCCGGTGTTCCTGAAACCGTTGAGCTGAAGAAGGAATTCGAGCAGGAACTCAAGACTGAGGACCTGTCTAGCGAGCCGGTGATTGTCCATAAGCCTGAAACCGAATCCTCGATCCCAGTGGCCGTCCCTTCTAAGACTGAGAATGGGTTCGTGTCTAACGGAAACGCAACCGAGGTGAAGAGTGAGAAGGAGACTGAGGCCAATGGGAACGGCCTCAGGTCACCCAAGAAGAGCCTTGAGAATGGTGATAACCGAGAGTTGAAGACGAAGAGGAAGAGCTTCCTCGGAAGCTTAAAGGAGTTCCTTCATTTGGGCAGTGCAACCAAAGAAAAGGGCAAGGCGAAGGGTGAGACCAGTCCGTAAACGGGTAGTCTTCCTCAAGTAACGTACGTAGTTGATAAAGTTCGGAGTCGTAGGTGAAAATCACGAAGGGGGGTTAATGTTACGAAACGCGATGGTTTTCCTTGCCGTTACTGTTTCAGCTTTTTGGTACGTTCAAGGGTAATTATCATTAGTGAGGCGGTTGTTCGTGAAATGCGTGAGGCAAAAAGATATTAAGAACGGGCGGCTTATTGTTTGTGTCTGTCACCAGGTTGTTTCTAGCGCTACTAAATTCGATGGGGTGGGGGGTTGCCAGTACTGTTACTGTTTGAGTTTTCGGGCTTTCTGTTAATCTTTTCTTCCTTTTGCGATTACTTATGGTTACGGCTTTTTGTTTTTCTCTTCTTTTCGGTTTTCTCTTCGTTTTTGTTTTTACGTACTTTTAGTGGTCCTTTTCATTGACTCGTTTCTTACTGTTCTCTCTTTTTTTTTCATACGGGTCGATGGACGGTCGGACTTTTTCTTGCTTTGCATTTCTATTCTTGCTGGGCCGGATCTGGGTTCTTGTTTGTCGGTGAAACGGGGCAGTTTGGGGGGGGTTCCTTTTGTTTTTCTTCTTTAGGTACAAAAAATGGAGATTGGTTCATGACTTCTAATGGCAATATATATCCGTTATTATTACATTATGTCTATAAGGGCCTATCACTACTACATGTATTTTGTTACCTTTCGTCTCCTCTAGGGTCTTGTTTTTGTACTGGTTAGGTTTGGGGGGGGGGTGGATACAGGGTCGAAAGATATAGAACAAGGAGGGAATTCTGTTGACTTTTTATATTGCTGGTGGCTTATTTGTGTATTGTGATTAAGAATGATACTTCAGCCTGGTTAAAGGTTGTGATTGAGTTCTCTGGCGTAGGCAACCAATCATGGTACATCACTCGCTATCATTACTGGTACAGGAGTGATTGATTGATATACTGATTCACGTCGAGGGAAAGGCGCCGATTATTACGTTATTATGTACGGTGCAGGTGCTCTAATACCCAGAGCCGCCATTTTTAGTGAGATGACGATGAACATTCCGATGGATTTACTTAATATTACTCTGACTTAAATCTTACGGTAGCCTGGTATCTTTCTGGTCACTATCGGCAGGACTTTCGTATAGTGAACAACGGTGTCGTTTGTGTGAGTAGTACTTTATCTGTACTTCTGAAAATGGCAATGCAAGGATTCCTGTGTACAATATCCAGGGAGGTAACCCTGGATATCAGCAGTATGACTACAGTAGAGTAGGCTGTGAATTGGAGTATATTGTAGATTCATGATCATCAATGATTAGGGCTGAGGCTATTGTATTTATACTTTCGCGATAAATCTCTAAAATAACATAGCAATAGTATAGATAAAATGGTGTTTTTTTTAGTAGGATGGTCTGCGATCTCAAGGCATCAGTTAAGCGCGGGCGTCTTGTACCATGTTAACGAGCCCGCATGGCGGCTGCGGAAGTAACCATACTAACCAATATATGCGCATTGTTAGTAACGCTTGCATCTTCACAGCGGCATGGTGGCTTGTGGTTGGCGCTAGTGAGTCAGTTGCTGGAGATGAGGTTGGATGAGGCATGCGCTATATAGTTTTGGGATTAGTATGGAATTGACCAACAATAGATCAGGTGCGGAGAGCTGCAGTGGAGATGGCTTAAGTACGGTGCGCTGCCTGCTCAACAGGTGTTTTTGGCCTTTTGCACTAATATTTTGCTTTTTATATCTTTCTCCACTACTGCCTCTCGTATTTCTATCACGCCGGTACTTTGAGTGTTCTAGGTATTAATAATACTGTAGAGCTGCGCTAGCACTTCAGGTGACACTTAACTGCTTCTGCTGTTTTCTAATATCACTTGCTATTGCTTTCATATCTTAAATGGCGCCCCCACAGTTCACAAGCAATTTTTTCAGCAACCGCTTCAATCAACCATCCTCTCCGGAACCTCTCACGAATGACGAATTAATATTCGAACATATGAAAGATGGCGACTCTTTGCAAGCCAAACTTCACCAGCATGCTTCGACATTTCCACAATTGCAATCGAATCCCATAGCTAGAAAACCCAAGGAAATATTAAACAGCATTGTTGATATAAGTAGTGAAGAACCACCCCCAGGCTTTATCCATGGCGGTGATATAAATCTCTTCGGCATGGAGCTCCCTGGCAAAATCTACACGTTTGTAGGCGAGCTCGCTAAGGCTGGTAGCATTCGAGAGTTTGTCACTATCGGCGAAAAGGTACTTCTGAAAGACTTGTTAAAAGGTCTGAGTGGGACTGTATTCGGTGATGTGCCCTTGATGAAGCCAGAATTTATATATAAAGATGCAGACCCTAGCACCGGCAAGTTGGCGGGTATGCATTTTCAGGCCGAGATCCTATTCGAAGGCGCATTAGAGGGTGTACATGACACGCTCCAGAGAGTGTTTGGCGTGGAAAAGAAGGAGAAGGTGCCATTGAGTATTGGCGGATTCGTGAGCGCGACCCGGGAATGGACCAAACCATTATCACCAGAAGAAATGGAGCTGAAGGGCGTTTTAGCGGGAGTACAGGCAAAGCTGGGGGAACTTATAAAATTTACGAGTATTGGTGTGGAACTAACGGCGCTGAAGGGTACCGAGAAACTTGATGATTATTCGAGATATAGGTGTAGGTACGGCTTTTTTGGAATTGTTGATTTAGAGATTCCGGGTTCAGTTGTGCCATTAGGGATGGAGTATTCATTGCGGGAAGAGGTGGAAGGAGTTCACGTGTTGAGGCTGACGAGGAAGGAGGGGAGTGGGTGGATCAACGTGGGAGGCTTTAAGGGTCTAAACGTGGGTCATTCTTTTTATGTTGATGGATACTGTGCTGATTTTGGAGCCTGTGCTCTAGCTTTCCTCTGTACAATTAATAGCAAAATTTCCTGTAAAAGAGACTCTTAAAGAGTTATCTTTTGAGACGGAAGCAGTATTGCAATTTCCAGGAGCTGACTTGAAGTTGAAGGGGATATACTCACCTGGTAAGTTCCTCAGGACAGATATGAGCAGTCACGCCATAATACCAACGGATTATCAACTAACACATATATCCAGGCCAATTCTATCTTGAAGCCTCAGTCCCCAATATCTCCCTCACTACTATTCGTCAATTTTATTCAGATCTAACCGGCCGCACCCTTGAGCCTTTCAACCACGATGTTCAATTCAATGACCTCATATTCCGCATCTCCCCTGCCGCGATCGCTTTTACCGGGAAAACCACAATAGATGGACACACGTCCCTCTCTGCAGCTCTTACAATCCACCGTGATGGCATTTCAATTACCGGCAGTGTTCTTGATATAAATCTTGGCGAGATCACCATCGAGCAGGCAAACCTTGATATCTTTATCGGTCGCACTGAACTAAATACCACGAGTCGCGAGAGCGGTTTTGAAATTAACGGAAAGGTGAAAGTGAGAGATATCACTGTGTCTGTGGGCCTTTATACAGAGTTTGAGGAGGAACAGGAGGTGGTATGGAGCGTTTATGGAGAACTCGAGACAGAAAAGGATTTTAGCTTGGCGAGGCTGGCGCCAGAGGTGAAGGGATCATTTTTAGATCTGGGGTTAAAGAGAGTGGCGTTGGTTGCGTCGAATAGAGATGCTGTGAATGGGGAGTTTAATCTCTCGGGGTATCCGATCAGAAGAGGTTTGTCGAGAGTATTCAAATGTGATCTTAGTAAGTAATTTCTCTGGAGAATACTAATAGTGCTATGCCGTCTTCAGGTGTCCAGTTTTGTGCGGTTATTGACCGTCATATCGAGCAACTCAATAACGTCTCTGGAGGAAGAGTTGAGGGCTTGATACTGAGAGCAACTTATTCTTCAAACAGTGGTTTTAGTTTTGGGATTCTTATGCCGGCCCCAGTAACTGTAGGCACCTTACTATCAGTAATCTCTGTTAGAAATCAGCACTAATAGAAATATCACCAGTTCTCACTCGGACCAAGTGTAACATCCGGTCCGATATCGCTCGAGATCGTGGCATCAAAACTTCCACAGTTAATGTTTACTGCACCGTTGAATATTAAAGTGGCAGGACAGAAGCAGCCTTTAGTTTTTACCTTTGGGCTCAAGGCCGATGTGCTTTCTGCTTCAGGGTTTGGACAAATGTCAAATTATTGGATAAATCCCTTTGGGCTCTTCAATGAGAGAATAAAGATTGGCCCGGATCTTGCCCTCGAAATCGGAATAATATATGCCACTCTGGCTGCCACCGGAGCACCAAGGTAATTCCCATAATATTAATGTATTTTCAGGAATACATACTAATATGGATCTTTTTAATAGTAAAATAATGTTTTCTGGCGGTCTCGCAATCGGTACCACAGACCTCCAGCTCGCTATGGCAATAAACCAAAACCCGGCGGAGCAGCTGCTCAAAGCAACCCTCAGTACTTTCAGCCTTACTGATCTAGTCACATTTGCCTCCAAAATATCCCGTCAAGATATTCCACTTCCATCCCCAGACCTCCTTGCATTCCGTGATTTGTCATTTTATATATCGACAGGTATGAGCATTGGTAAAACACATTACCCCGCTGGCGCATCGATTACTGGTGAAATGGAAATATTCAGTAAGGTTACGACTGTTGAGTGTACCATCGGTACAACAACCAAGATCAGTGCCTTGTTCGATGAAGTGAAATTAGGGCCGCTACTCCTAGGTGGTGTAGGAGACGAAAGACCACAAATGACGATTGAGATTGGACTCGCGAAGCAACATATCTTGGTTGATGGGCGGTTGAAGATACTCGGCCTGAACACAAGTGTTCAGTCGGTGTTTGATATTTTGCCCAATCCTGATATGAGATTTGACATTACTTTTGCGTTTGCAGAGGCATTGAATGTAGAGATTAGTGCCAGAGTGCTAGGGGCCAGAGATATTGGTGGGTTGGCGGAGGCAGACTTTGTGGTGGATGTGGTTTTAGAGCAGGATGTGTTGAGATATGTCAATACTCATGCGAAAGCCCACTTCAGAGCGATTCACAAGGTATTGGAGGAGGGAACCGAGGCTGCTAGGAAGTTTTTCGAGGAAGAGAAGAAGAAGTTGGATATACAACTAGTCAGAGCCAAACAAACCCTCGAAGCAGCCAAAATAGCTTGGAAGGTAAAGGAGAAGCAAATTGAGGACGCATTGGAAGAAATTCTTGCCGAACTAGAGGAGGGGAGACTCGAGCTCCAAAAAGACCTGGAAAACGCACGTAAGGAGTTTGAGGCAGCTCTTTATGATGCATATCAGCAACTTGAACAGGCGAGGATTGATAGGGCCGCCTTTGTAGCTGGTGCAGCAATCGATTTAATGCACGCGAGAAAGGAGTTTAGAGATGCGATTAGAAGTATGTTGTTTGATGTTAGAGCTACGAAAGAGGAGACGAAGTCCAGATTTGGGGTTTTGTTGGATGATGTAGAGAATGCAGAGACAGAGGTAAAAAAAGCACAAGGTGAAACTCAGTAGCACCGAAAGTAATGAGTGATTCGAGCTAACAAAGTGTTTGAACTCCAGAGACGCTAGATGCAGCAGAGGTGGAACTTAAGGAGTCAATAAAAGAACTCGATGAGAGTCCGTTCTACAGCAGGATCAGACTTGTAAGTTGTTCATCCTTTCACTCATGCAAAGTTTCATTGTTGATATCTTGCAGAGTCTCGAGGTTGGCCACCGGAAAGCACACTTCTCAGACGCGCAAGAAACCCTTTTATACGCTACTCAAAAGTTAGAGAGAGCCCAGAAGGCCTTACAAGGCTCAGATTACCAATCTGCGATAGCTGTCAAGACTGAAAAGGTCAAGGAACTACAATCCGCGAAACAAGCCGAAGAAGTGACCCTTAAGAAGATTGAGACCAAAGCAGAGGCCAAGAGGAATGTTTATGACCAAAAGGTGGAGGTATCTGAGAAAGCTATCGCCGATAAAACAGTGGCCAAACAGCAAAAGGAAGTTATACGGAAAGCCGAAATGAAGCTGAAGAATTTTGAGGCAACAGCTCAAGCCAAGATTGAAGCTCTCAAGAGCAAACAGGAGGCACTACCAGAATCACCCGAACACAAGAGGTTTCAGTCAGCAGCAGAGAAGTTGAAGGTAGTTAAGAGTGTATCAGAAAAGCTGGAAGTTTCAAAACAAGCGATAATATTGATTGAGGAAGAGGACCACCAGAGCCTTGCGAGAACTATTGTGGGAAAACTCGACGAAATAATTAACATACGCCGAATTGAGCTTCATGGATCTTTGAAGGACCTGGTGGAAAAAGGGCAGCCATTGAAGGCACGTGTACAGGGAATTATTGCAGGACGGGAGGTGGATTTCACCATTGGTTATGGTATTGGGCAGACTTTAGAGTTCTTGAGGGCTTTGCTGAAAAAGTTGTGGGAAGAGATTAAGGAGGACCTTGCAAATGGATTCGGTTTTGGCGCCGGGATGGTGATTCAAGTGAGTGGAACGGATACGGTATAGTTATGGGGCTCTTAAGGGTTTTAAAGGTGGATCACAGGTGCTCGCTTTTGAATGGAGAGGCACTTAGTATGGATATAGGAGCTTAAGTAGGAAATAATTGTAATAGATCAACTAAAATGATGCCAAGCCGTCTTCAAATTTTATGTCGTTGAATCTGATGAACGTTCTGGGAATTAACACATACTTGCGCAAATCGTAATTGGCCGCGGAGGGAGTTCAAAACACGATGAAGTTAACGCCTGAAGAGAGTTATAGTCTTTATAAACATGTGATAAGCTGCAGTAGAATTCATGTTTCGCGCGCCTCTTCTATGTAATAATCACCATAAAGGGTACTCAAGTTCCTTGTCGCATAGTACTAGATGTAGATCTAGAGCACATCCTAAGCTACTGACTGTTGTGGTTGATGGCCAACCAAAGCTGCGCCAAGTCTAGCTAACAACTTAGGCAATAAACGTTTACCCTGTAGGCACATACATAGGCTGTTAAATACTAATAACCTACAGTCTTGGCATCAAGTAATAGGACTAGACTAGTAATACAGTTATTGGAGTCTAGAGCTCTTGGCACTAAGGTTTCAAGTTTTATCGCACTCCTGAAATTCCCTTGATAGTAGTTGCAGGCTTCTCGCCGAAAGAATTTCTCTAGTTAGTTGACTGTGTGGACTGAATTGAGATGCCCTATTTTCCCGAAGTTGAATAAATTATGGCCGTACCCCGGAGTTTAGAGATTCAACCATAGATTATCACTCGTACTCATGAATTATCACTCGATTAATCGCCACACAAGTTCAAAGGATAATTTTTAGATTACTAAAGCGAAACAATCCATATTCCAAGAGTACATAGGCACCGAAGATATCAAATAAGAAATAAACAAGAGATAAAGTTAAACAATTTTCCAATTTTCCCAGTTTTAAACACAAACATTGTTATGTTAGCTAGTCGAAGACCCTGGTACTTCCCTCCGCGACCTTTTCAGCTTCAGCTTCCATCTTTTTGACCTCCTCTGCGTCTAACTCACTCATAGCGCAGTTCCACGCCTTATCTGCCATCATTTCCCATTCCTCGCTATATTTCGCCAATAGTTTCCGTAACCAAACAACTACAACAACTGACACCCAGATCGTCTCTTTCCCATTTTTAGTCCAGTCACCCACTTCTTTAATCACATTTTCTGATACCCCGATGACGTCAAGTAAAGCTTGTGAAGATTCAAAGTGACCTGAAAATAGCTGCAAGCGTGATAGCCTCGTGATGATGCCGCTGGGTGTGTCGTCCGTGCTAGTAGATTCGATCGTGCTAGTATATGATGGGTTGCTACTTTTTCTTTTCTTCTTTAATGATGGGCTGCTACTGGCTGACACGGCTACCTCATTCGGTGATGTCCCAGTGAGTTTAGCAATTTGATAGGCAGAATACCGGCGAGATGCTCGTCGCTGTATCGGATATTCTCTCTGCAGGCATGCAAGAGCATCTTGGTGAGAAGGTGGGGGTGGAGGTGGGGGCGGGGGCGGGGGCGCGTAACTAGCATACGGCCCCGTATCACCAGAGAGCGACTGAAACGTTCGCCCCGCTGGGGGCTGTTGCTGCTGCTGCTGTTGCTGCTGTTGCTGCTGTTGCTGCTGCTGCTGTTGCTGCTGTTGCTGCTGTTGCTGCTGGAGACGTACCGATTCAAATGGAGGAGGGGGTTGAGGGGTTGCCCGGAGCATGTGGGTTGTCTGCTGCATCCCTGCAGACGATCCGCCTGCCCTTGCCATTGAGGCCCCAGCATGTATTGCCATAGGGCTATTATAGCTATGGAAATGTATTTTTAATTCAATGTCCTCATCATCTGAGCCCTGGGGTGTTAATACATTAGGTTCAATATCCATTTCGTCGTCCCCATCATCAGTCGCAACAGCCACAAAACTCGTCCATTTTGACGCCAGCCCAAACGTAACCCCCAGATCTGTGCCCTCGGCGTCTTTGTGCGGAGAGTGGGCAGGTAGATATCCGCAGCGGTCTTCTTCGAGATCCTGTAAAAGTTTGCGCCCCAGGAGCGAGTAAAGACCGAGGGCTGATGAGGATGAGGTAATAGTGGCAACAGGGATGTTGAGTGCGAGGGGGTGAATAGAGTTTGTATTGGGATCATGTGCTGTGCCGAGGAGGCGAATAACCTTCGGGGCCGTGCACTCTGTCAAGAGGAAGTAGACACTTGTTCGCGTGAAGGAATAAAGAGATGGGATGATTGATGGTGCTTGAAGAATTGGTGGGCGTGCAGGGAGAGAGGATTCTGTCGGTTTTGCCTCATCGGGATTGCTGGAAGTGTCATAAAGGGATATTGGGGCATGGGTGGTGGGCTCTGCTGTGTTTTCCTGTGAGAAGGAGGACATGATGGCTTCTTTTCCCTCCCAGTCGATTCTCCAATCATTGACGTGTGGAGTGAGCGCAGATTTGAGCATACGCATGATTTTCTTCTGCATATTATCCCCTGCACCGACAATTTGCGAATATCCTTTTCCAGCCCTGCCAATTCCTTCGACGAGTAGGTGACTTACGCTTCTACCAATACCCAGTGAAAAAAACCTCGCGTCGCCAGTAGAAGTGCTTTTATTGATAAAGTCGAACAACACTTCTGCCCCCCATATATCTCCATCAGTTAATACAAGGACCTCTAGATTCATGCCTTTCAGTCGACTTGACACAGCTTGACTACAAGGGGCAAGCATTTCTGTCCCGCCCATGTTCGCATCCATGCCATCGACATGCCTCTTAGCAGCTTCGAAAGATTCAGCGCTATAGAGTTTGGATTTGGGCCAGAGGCTTGAGTGTCTAGATCCAAAGGAAATGATATTAAAATGCACGCCTACTGGCAAAGAGGCCAGGAACAGGTGGAGCGCAGAGCGGACAGTAGCTATCTTATCGGTCATGCTACCCGAACGATCAACTACAAAGACAACCTCTGGCCGCTGCTGAGGGAGCTCGAAACGGGGAACCAATGTGACCAGGAGGGTTGACTTTGAAGGTATATCAGGGTGAGGTGCGATGAAAGCTCGGGGCATGGAAATGTCAGTAGAGCTAATGATGAGAGTGAAATCCTTCTCGAGACCCGTGGTTGATGCAGTTGGAATTGCTAGCACTGCCCGAGCCATCTGCGGGTTGAATTCTCCCTGGCCAGACGCATCGTGAGAACCGATGTTGATAGCAATAGGGTGACTTGGACTCTGGACACCCCGAATCGAACCATTCATGGTCGCCATGACTTCAATCGCAAGGCCTTTAGTCTCGAGTCTTCCCTCAGCAATTTTTTCAAGTTTGGTGCTCATGTTATTCCACCCGTTATCCCAGCCCACTCCAAAATTCGTAAAATCCGCATGTCCGTATTTTGGCGAAATAATAGTAGGAACCACCAACCTCACACCCTCGACCTCGATATCCTGTTTCAACTCATGGACATACTTGATCACCACGGACACAAATTCCCCCGGGCGTATATTCCCTACACTGGTGGTAAAAACCTCGCCGGTATTCTGCTCTAATAAGGCCGCCTGCTTCCCTGCAGCTTTGGCAGCATTATATTCGGCTTTGGCCTCCTGCTTTGGCTTGATGACCCCGTTTATGAATTTTGAACCTATTTCGGCTGAAAAGAACCGAATAGCAGATGATTCATAAAGAGGAAAGGTATATTTGGCCTCCTTGGCATTGGCGGGAGCTTCGTTGGTAGAGTTTGGTGGGTAAGGATTATAAAAGATTTGAGTGAGTGTGTGGTTGGCAGTGAGGTCGACGACTTCGGTACGCAGGCGGGAAGCAAGAATTGGGAGAGGCGTATCAGGATAGCCGGGCGTAATAAAATAGATTCCACAGACACGCATTGTAATAAGTGATAATGGGATGTTTATTAGGCTGTAATGATTGCGCTGTTCTGTAAATGGTGGACTTAGAGGGTTGAAATGGCATAAAGCTAGCTATCAGGATCACAATGGAATATATAGATATAGATATTGTGGGCCGCAATGGATCCTCAAGTGAGGTGATCATGAGCATGAGTCACATCTGGAGCTGTGCGCTGGCGAACACAACTAACCCCGCAAACAAAGAAAGATGGTAGGGCTGAAAGCCTGTTTTTCTGCCTTGTTGAAATAAAAGTTGAGGCTCAGATGTTGGTTGGCGTGTGGATAAGAGGTACATATATGCGCCCTAGGGCTAGGCGGCAAGGTAAGTACATGTATGTACTTCTAGACTCACGCATGTCCCAACTACATGTAATATGTAGGCTCAGTACTACCTTACCTACTCAAAGTAAGAAAATACAAGTATCAACACCAAATTCCGCCTCGCCTCGTCCATGCAATGCCGTCAATGTGACTCTAACAGTGTTTGAAAAACAGTCATATATATCATGGAAAGCGGGACCAACAGTATTGCGGCCTAAGTGTTCCTCCATAGACCCGTATATGTGTGTATAATTATTACCATGAAAGGCTGGTAATGTGTTCAGAATGGCCTGACTGGGTAAAACGAACTGAACTCAACACTGGTAAGCTGGTTCGATTGCCGGGACGCGTATGAGGATCAAGTTTCTTATTTTACTTCGGCCACAACATTCCTCCAAGATAGTGATTTATAACACATGATATGTGTGATTGTGATGAATTCAAGCGACCATGCGCTATTGTGACAGGTCCAGTTTCCGTGTGATTTGTGCCTGTAGAACAGTAGAACTACATGCGCTCTAGATAATTGGCCGCACTACGTTCATCCCCCGCCTTTCTTCTTCTACACATATACGGCGTGATACAAAGATGTAGGTACTTACGTTCTCGCGGGCTAGTCCTATGGTGCCAAGAGTTGTTTATTGAGGCTGCCCAGCCCTAAGCTTTAACCCTCACAATATTAGCGAGCCTTTCGTGAACAAGAAAATAAGGCTCCAGGCTCCAGCGATTCCCCAACCGAGAGGTCAATTTGACTTTCGCAAAAGAATAGATCGAGTGATAGTAGATGTCTACTTTCTGCGGGGTAAGAGACCCCGTGCACGGGAATGACCTCATCTTGCTTACAATCGATAAGAACAGCTCAACGGCCCTCCACCCAGAGCCTTCGACGACCTAAGTGTTATCGGCATGCCTTTCGGAGAAAAGATATCTCAATACAAAATCGAAGAATTGCCTGCTCCAGGCGGACCAACACCTTCTAGTAATAGAAGGAAGGGGAGCGGGACGAGGTTCTTTTCAAGAAAGAAGTTTACGATGCCGGTATGATTCTCAATCTTATCACGCGTCCAACCCATTTTTGGGATAGGATGAGGTGTAAACATGCTTCACAAGTTATCACTCCCCATAGTATCATTTGAGCTTACAGATCCTTTTAGTCACTCTTTGAAAGCCTGCCTATAGAGATCGTCAACAACATGACTAGGTACCTTCCTGACGGGCTCGAAATCATCAACCTCCGCAAAGTGTCGAGAACATTTTATAATATATTTTCCTGCCACGATTTGGTTTCGAGAGCCCTCGTTCAACACTATCCTTATTCACGTGAATCACAGCTACCGCATCTTCAACGTACAAAAGCCGTTTACGACAGGGTCGCCCGCCGTTCTTACACACAACCACGCCGTAAATGCCCTTCTAGGAAGGAGTATGTAGACTGTTCCCCTATTTTCTGTGATGATGAGGAAGAGGTGCTGGTTTATCGTACCGCAGAGCAGATTTCAACCAAGGGGTGGGCGGGTTGGCTATGGGATATGAGGGATGACATAAAGGTAGAGGTGAAGCTTGTTGATGGAGATGCGAAAGTCGGCGGCTGTTACAATGAGAATGGAGAGTTGTATGAGAGTGCAGTTGTACGAAACGTGTCATGTTGGAGTGGGAGAGGGGTTATGGTGCTACATGGGCATCATATACACCACAAGTTCGCAAATGATCACGATGCACAGAGGGGGGAGTACACGGGGGTTGAACTGGCGCTGGGAAATTTTGGGATCCAAATAGCTCCAAGAAGGTATGTTAGATTGCTAGCTCCCCCGATTTTTTTTCATTCACTAAACAAATTCTTAGAATGAAACACGCCCACACATTCATTCAAATCTATTCGCTCCAACGCTCCAATTTTGGCCAGCTCATCTCCTCATTCAGCTTCTACGGTAATACCGTTCTCGCACATGCAACCTGCAATAAACATTTCTTCGTTGCTTATCACGCCCACTCTCTGTTTCTCTTCAACTATTTAAAAGACAGTGACGGCATTCCCCTTGCACCACACCAACGCCTTCAAAGCTTGATACCAAATATATCTTCTGCCTTACCTGCTATATACACAGAGTCAAGATTTTGGTCCTGCTACCAGTGCAGACGTGCAATCAACGTTGACAGCCGGGGGGAATATTTTTTTCTTTATACCAATACGACACCAGGAGGCGGCAACAACTCAACGGTGTATGTCCTCTCGTCGGTCGATGCACAAGTAGTTAAAATGGTTGAACTCAGCCAAACCCCTAACTCACTTAGATGGCGGTTTAAACAGGATGACTTGCGCATACTAGAATGGCGATTTGAAAGCGATATCAAGCCAATATGTCGAGACACTGAAGAGGGAGAGGAAGTAAGATTGACATGGGTGGGAAGCTATGGGCTGAACGGCACTCGAGAGTATAGGGTTGGCCTTGATGAGTTGGATGAAGCTGGAATTTTCAAAGGGGATGAATCTCCAGTCATGGTGGAGTGGAAGATCAATACGTTGAATACACACCTACGGCCGGACGGCGCATTCGAGAGCTCAAAGCCGACTCTTTTCTACGCCCCAACCGAGTTTAATAAGGGGGGTATTTTGGGACTGCCAGAACAGACCATAGGGTGGGATGAGTTGCGAACCAAAAACGACGCTGTAAAGTGGCCAGTGGCAGTAAGTCCATATAGGTTCTTTAGCCAATCGGAACCTAAGATGAGTGTTCTGAGGTGGGGTGCGCGTAGTGGTGTAAATGGATACTACACCACCGATCCTAGCGAGATGGTAATCGATTACCGTAAGACCGTCACTTTATGGTATGATAGAAGCTGGAACCCGAAGTTAGAAGGGCACATAGTCACCCGCGGAACGCTCTTATCTCCGAGGTGGCGGTCAGTGTTGGACAATATGTGTGAAAGCACAGGAGTGGGATTCAAAGCTGAGAACGCAGACGAAACCGCCGCGAAGTTATTGATGTCACGTAAAGAAATAGCTCGAGCGACACAACGAAGAAGAGAAAGAGAGAGGCAAAAGCGAGGACCGGTGGATAACGCATTTTTCCATGAAGGGAGTGGATGGATTCTCTACCTACTAAGAGCGGAGCGAGAGGATTGGAGGAAAGAAGAGGAACGGAAGAAAAGGATGCAAGAAAACCGTGCGCAGTGTGGGCTTGAAACGAATTTGAGAGAGCTTTTGGTCAGCGATGGCAGCGAGGAGGAGGAGGCATATTTTACAGGGCCACTATCAGAGAGTACAAGTGTGTTGGTGTACTTAAGATTCTAGAATCTTGCGTGTAGAAAAGTTTCCTATGTACAACATATCTGTTTGTAACCTCCGAGGCTGGGGCGCTCTGTGCCTTGTCTCTAGGAAACTAGAAGTACACTACTGCCCAAGAGGCGATGGACCTGGATGTACAGCGGTGGGTAATAAGTGATCAGACAGAACGCCACCAAAATACGCGTTTGCAGGCAAAATTGTGGCTAGGCCGTCCGATGACTTAATACCCACCGCTGTACTGGACCCTTCTCGGCGCACGTTTCCTAGGGAGTTTTCGGACAAAGACGAATGGAGATATCTGGAGGAGGGGCTTCGATCTTAACTGCCAAGTCTGGCAAATCGTACGCAGTGTTTTAGGAGCAAATACTATAGTATTTTCTTCTTATTAATTGCACACTTTTGAATGATGAAATCTCTTAAATCTTATAACGTGTTTCACCGGGAAAGCAACCGAAGCTCACAGAAGGGCATTATAGCACCAAAACAATACCTATGAAGCCATACATGTATAGGAGAGTTCTTTTGGTGTTTTTGACTATTTCTTATGATCATAGCGAGTATATAGCTGTGGGAGGGTCATCAGCGGTCATCAAGCCTTGATGACCCTCCCACAGCTATATACTCGCTACCTATTAGTAACAATCATCAGAAATATTCGAAAGATATCTCAAAATGACTTTAGTGTATTTAGTTCTGTAATTCTGGGTGATTTTGAATTTTCACAGCAATTCGCGATCCCGTTCATGTCATGTTTGATTGCTTTCCCAGTGACGATTGCGTTCCCAGTGAAACACGTTAACTACGTGTACTATTATGACTGGCTGTTTAATAAAACCTGCTGCGGACAGTTTTAAAAATTCTAAGATCTGGACTCTAGAATACGTACTGGGACACATCTCTCCTCGTATTTCGTAGACATTTATTGCAATATTAAGTATTGGCTAATCATATTTGGACTAGAGTATTAGTTGAAAGCGGTAACAATGTATATAACTACACTAAGCTCTATATGGTAAATAGATAACTACAATTAATACGCATGATTAGCTGAGGGTCCGTGGTTTAAGTCAACATAAAAATATCGCCGCTGAAAATCTCACCCTTTAATTCGACTTGTAGTGTTGGATTTGGGCATGGATATCGGCTATCGTAACTAAGGAAAGTCAGGGAGACATACAGGAAGAGTCACGCTTTGCAGGGGACGAGTGCCGTAGCAGGCATCTTTGAAGTGCCGGCAAGCCGTTCAACCATCAGCTCAGACTTATTTGAATAAGTTTGTTGACTATTCAAACCAGATTATATGTACCTGGTTGCGAGAATTAAACAGGCCATCCGCCGGAGAAAATCCGGATATCCGGATCCTATCATATGATCATCTAAGTGGCAAATCACAAGAAATCCTAGGCCTGGTCTTAAGATATAACTTTTGAATGTAGAGTACATATGAGGAATGCGGTAACTACATACACCTCCAAATTATTTAGACTTATTTTTAGGTTACGTTAAAGGCTTATCTTTTCAGGGATAGATCAAGCTTTCTCATTTATTTTATCGGGAATAGTGTATTTGATTCTGGGAACCTTAATATGGCTCATGCTCAATACGTATACCATGGGGGTTGTTCAACCTCACATGGGGGAATATCCCTGAAACCGGCCGGCAGCCCGGATTACAGTAGTCTAATAGACATGCTAGCATGCTAGCATTTTTATCAAATACTGGAAGTTCATTGCTAAAAAAAAACCCCCCCGGGCTGAGCTCCGTGATCAACGTTCACGATATCCTGATTGCTGGACGGGTCTAAAAGTCGGTACTTTAACCTGGCCTGATGACTTGAGATATGATTATATACCCCATATGCATACATGTTAGCATTCCGTGGTTGGAACTAAATGTATTCAAGGATCTGAAGATGCCTAGGTGATACACACAAGTAGGCGAGATTTGGAACCATAGAGCTATTTTGGATGGATCGGATCACATATTATCACTCGTATGAATTTTTAGCTTGTTTAACATCTCACCACGCGCCATATATATCACTCATTTGAACATCTGGGATAATGCGGTATATGTTGCTATAGGTATATACGGCCTATTATATAAGGCATATCGCTCTACGTTTAAATTATACTATCGGCTTGGCGTTCCCAAGCCTATCGCTATATGTCTATGCCCTCTCTGCCGCTTTGGACTAAAAATATTAGATAGACTCATGTGTAACTTCTTTTTATCAATCACTTGTACGTACACGAGAGAAAGTGGGAGTAAGTCTTGGGGGAGGGGTAGGCACAGGAAAAACCAAATCTTAAGTGTTTTCAATCATGAAGAATCACCCAGCTTTCCAAATCATACAGGATCACTCAGTGTTCGGTAAAGTCCGCCGAGTACTTCCACAAGGTCTACTCTATTGCGGGAGTAAGTATGAGAAGATTAGCTAGCCGAGGATTACGTAGATCTCGCATGTATTCAGCAGCTAAGTAACGCTCTTGCTCCCCACTAAGATTTGCATAGATCTGTTTACATCTCCTCCGCGGTTGCTTTTTCTGCCCACCTTTATCACTAGATGTGTACTTTACATACGTTGCAGTCTCCCAATTCTTATGCTTTCATATCGGCCTCTGCACCACTCGACCACATATATACCCAAAACGCTCGCAATACCGGGCCTGTATTTCCAGTTTCTGGAACTCCTAAACACATCCACTAGTAAAGTGGCAAAAACTAAGTACATTCTCAATGCGCCGAGTAATCCTCCAAGAAGTCAAGAGTCAAGGCGTATGATAAACGGTTATATGACATCAAAATATATATTAAACGGCAAGTACTACCCGTAGAGAAGATTTATTATCATTAAAGTTACACACAATGATTACTCTATATGATAACATTGAAGGCAGATAGTTGATTTTCACCCAGTCATCGTTTATACAAGTACATGTATCAATGTAGATACATGTAGCTTACATGGGTAGGATGCGGGTGCAAGGCCCGGGGTACCGAGCAGCGAAGTTTTGTGAATTTGGCAGGTGGATGGATTTATGGTGTGACTACCGACGCTGAAGAAAAACGACCAAGTGAAGCTCACTCTGGGCATGGAAGTCTAATGTTTCGAATATAAATCTTCATTATAGTTAGATACTAGAAACAAGGACAAGCGAAGTGATTTATCCGGAATTATCTCGCGAGGACGTGCCGAGGCGGTAGGTTTCCCTCAACCTCCGAATAAATCCTTGTTGCTTACATGCAGGTACACAGGCACCGGGATGATCGACTTTTAAATCCGGGGAAATGGTGTTAATGTTCTGGCATCTGTTGTGGGACAACATATGCATACTGCGGGGCTAGCCATGAGGGAAATAAAGTAATCATGAATCAAAGAATGAATAGCTTCATATCAACGAAGGACCTCAGCAGATATTGGCACTGGTATGGGGGGTATATAATCCGTCTCATCTGCCCATAATTGTCTCACTATCCTTTCCACTCTCTCCAGAAGCCATTCGATCATTACCGAAACGTCAAGATGTTGTTTTCATCGCTCCTTTCCCTTGCGCTTGTCCCAAGCACCCTCGCTATCGTAATTCCCACAACTGGAAACCCATTTTTGGGCAGACAGCTCTACGCAAATTCCAAGTATGCCGCAAAGCTTGAAGCGACTATCAGCTCTTTCTATCAACAGGGTGATTCCATAAATGCTGCGAGGACAAAGAGAGTCCAGAGGACTGGAACTTTTGCTTGGATCAGTTCCAATGCTGATGTATGATCCTTCCATGGCTCTCTGCGGTGTATAGATAGTAGTGCTCACAATAAGAGTAGGTGCCGAGCATTTCGACCTACATCGACGAAGCTCTCACTATCCAAAAGAACTCCCAGAGAGCTCAAATCGTCGAGTTTGTAGTCTACAACCTCCCAGACCGTGACTGCTCCGCAAAGGCCTCTGACGGAGAGCTTAAGATTGCCGATGACGGCCTCAACAAATATAAGCTTTTTATCGATGGTATGCATGCCCGAATATTCCGATTCAAGCTTAAATAAATGATGCTAATAATCTTTCTAGATGTTGCCGCAGCCATCTCTGTTGCAAAGGCTGACGAGCTATCTTTCGTTGTGATTCTCGAACCCGATTCACTGGCTAATTTGGTTACAAACTTGGCAGTTGAGAAGTGTGCGGGTGCTGAGCAGGCATATAAGGCCGGTGTTGCATACGCGATCAAGAAGCTCCAGTTTTCGAATGTACATTTGTATCTGGATGCTGCACACGGTGGATGGCTCGGTTGGGATGGTAACTTGGAGCCATCAGCGAAATTGTTCGCTGAGGTTTTGGGGATGGCGAACTCTAACTCCACTACTGAGGCAAAGGTTAGAGGATTGGCCACCAATGTGTCCAACTACAATGGTAAGTTGATGTTCCCAGAGAAATCGTGGATAGCTTTGAAAATACCTCGGGTCACTGATACGAACCGCAGCGTACATTGCGGTTCCGCGTGAGAACTTCACTGAGTGGTCCAACTCATGGGATGAGTCTCACTACGTTAACTCCCTCGCACCATACCTTGAAGCCGAGGGTTTCCCAGCACATTTCATCATCGATCAGGGCCGTGCTGGAAAGCTCGGAATCAGGCAAGAATGGGGCCAGTGGTGCAACGTCAAAGGCGCTGGATTCGGAGCCCTTCCTACTACAGAGACCAATGATACTTTGGTCGACGCTTTGGTTTGGGTCAAGCCAGGTAAGTAAAAACCCGAGCACTTGTATAAATTGGTGCTGATTATGCAAATCTGTGATAGGTGGTGAGAGCGACGGAACGAGTAATTCTACTTCGCCAAGGTTTGATGAGATGTGCGTTTCGGCGGTTGCGGATGTGCCAGCACCAGAGGCTGGAGCTTGGTTTAATGAGTTTACTAGAACTTTGGTTAAGAATGCGAATCCCCCACTTGAGCCTATGTGGATCTAAGGCGTTTGATGCATGATAGAATAGACTTAGATACATGTATACAATAGGAACTAAGTAACCACTTTATGTATTTAATCAGACCCGTATCTCTCCTTAAGAACTACAGGATGATTTAGAGCAATATATAGAGTATCTACTTACTGGGTGTTCTTAGACCTGCATGCAGCTGCCAGATGTGAGGGCGCCTGCACATATAGATTAAAGTGTGACCTCCCATTGATCAACTGGATAAATGTTCATAGATCATACTAAAGGGCGATAAACATAGATAGATAAAATCTGGCGTCCGTTCCTTTGACGCTGATATTAGAGCCGAGCTCTCTGAACAAATTCGTACAATAGACACTTATCTTTTTTGAGTTTAGTTGACCGAAAGATCGACGCGGCTAGTTTGAGGGCACGTGCACAGTCTACACACTGCGGAGCCCGGATCATCACCTTCCCTGCCATTAGCATGATCCAGGCGGAGGACTCTCACTCCAGTAAAGAAGCTAGAAGCACCCTCGCGCTGTCATAACCTAAAATTACTCAAGACAACACCGCCCTAAAATAACGTCCAGATTTATCCCCAAAATATAATTGACTGCACACTCAGTCATCTAGTTCTGCAAGGCTGATACATCCGAAGATGTCAATTTTATTGTTTTTGTATCTTTTCAGATATAAGACAAGATAAAACTTATAGCAGACCTTATAATGCCCGATTAACCCTGCAGTTTTCTTAAACTACATCATGTAGTGTTCTTGGTTGGGCATCCTGGTTGGTGCTGTGCAGTCTTCCATGTCAAGTGTTGGACTTTATTTATAATTCGGTGCTGAACCTAGTTCTCAACAAATCTGTCTCGTATAAACTCTTCGTCATCTAATCTCTATGAGATTTTATATAAGACTCCCATATATTCTATCCTAAAAAGGACTTCCATGCAGTTCGCCCCCCTATTCTCCACTCGGCGAGAGAAGCTCTATTCTCGTTGACATTTAAGGGGAATCACCCCATTTTTTCCTTTATAATGTAGAACAGTTGTTAATCTGGCTGATATTCCACGTGTTTCTCTGTGGCTTTCACACGTACCAGTTTCAATATATGATGTGGTAGTTTGGCCGAACGAGTGGGCAAAGTTCCCTCTACCTAAATATGTAGTCTCGTTCCTAGACCTTTGTCGCGGTCTTCGCAGGCAATGCGCTGCACGGTCTAGGTACGAACACCCCCACTAAAATTCATATCCACACGTGTGTGTGTGTCCTGATTTCGCCAAACCAAGGAAGGCTAGAGGCCAAGCCTAGAGCTTATGCGATCACTAGTGATCACTCGTATCTCCGTGAAGCGAAAATTCAAAGGTTTTTGTCCCAAGCTTTTCACTGCAGAATAGCACCCTCAAAGGCGAGATAACTGGCCGTTCCAAGTGGACATATGGCTAGAATAGGCTCGATAACCACCACCACCACCACCACCACGAGGCAGGTAATCAGCCCCGCAGTTCATGTATAGTGAGGTCAATGCCTCTTAGAATGTGCGTCTGTTCAGCCTTACTGCGGCAGCAGCGGTGAAGGATCAATATCCTATTTTGTCCGCTTAGTCCTTTTCTATGTAAGGTGATAGGCATTCTAGCTGCCAGGCACTCGTATCTGAATATTAGCTGTGGGAAGTTACACAATGCCTCGTTGATTCGACCTCTTGTAATTTTAAACTGACTCCCTAATAGTAGATCATTAGCAATTGCTTTCGTCTTGACCCAGGTGCACTATGCAGTATTCAAGCCCTTAGCTGTACTTCCTTACGATTCCCAGGTATGGACCACACACACACGCGCACACACTCTTTCTCAACATACGCAGCAGACACATAAAGCAGCTGCAAATGCTGTTGCCCCGGTCCGAACTGTTGTTCTAGCCGGTCAGCAGAATCAGCTTGGGAAAACTCCACTGGCCGATCGGAAGATTGCTTCTAGCTATTGCACTTTCCTTTCGGTAGATCTAACCGCACGCGAAGTCCGAGAGCAGATACTGTAGCCGCTGTGTAGGTGCTTTGTTTGATGGTGATGATGGGGGATGATTGTGGGATGGTGATGATGATAGCGAAGAAGCTGTGACGATGACCACGCGTGTCATGTCAAAATGTTGGTTTGTAGCATAAATACATGTATCTACATGTATGTATCTCCCCGGCGCCGCTAAAGTTTTCCCGCGTTAAGAAGAAACAGTATTTTTTGTCGGGAAGAAAAGGGTCGATACTCAAAGAGATAAATATTTGGTTTTTGCAACATTCAGGAGGTGGCAACATCCTTATTATTGGTTCAAAGAGCTGTACGTTTTGTCATACCTGCGCTGCTGCATTTGCTGCGTTGTAGAAAATCGGAGGCGCTGGCGCCTAGCTCCGAGCCCACAAGAATGCAATCTAGACCCCGAACCCGTATTGTAAGTCTACACACAGTAAACTGTCTTCACATCACAGTACAGTAACAGCCTGGTTAATTCCAAGCAGAATAATGGGATTTAATTACTTGGGATCCAGCGTTCTGGTTAGAACAGTGAGAATTGCAGGTAAAGAGTTAATTCATCGCCTTTTTAAAATCCGGGCAATGTACATGTAGACAGTCAATCTACTATAAATTAAAGGTAGACTCCCATATCACCCCATTTCTAATTTCTATAGATTTAAAGTCCTCTCACTTAAATCGATATCTGTTGTGGAACTCCTATTTTTAGTGATAAAAATGCCTTGTGTAATGGATGCATTCAGAGGTTATGCCAACAACCTTAAAGATGTATGTATTAATGTTATCCCTTCCTGCAATAATAATTATACGAATCGGTCATACAAGCATTCATTTTATTAACAAAAGGAGAAACAGAGTACTTGGGAGAGTCTTATGACACATACTCCAGTTGTGGCCCACTTTATTCTCGTCATCATAACAACCCCATGGGAATTTTTAAAGAGGCCAGTCGTTCATATTCTCCGGATAGATCACACCGAGGATCAACGAAATATTATGATTGAGTTATGGTGTAAAAACAAAAGATCAGAGTATCGTTATGTCGCTATGTCAGTAAGTAAAAGATTCTAGTCCCAATCTTGAAGGTTGCTTGCAAACTCATTGCAAATAAAATAGGGAACAGTAGTAGCCTCAGCTGTAACTGCATCATTATCTTGGGAAAGTATAAGGGACAAAACGACTTGGTTTACTCGCGGTGCTTGGTACGGCAGCATTGTTCTTGGCCTGCTATCTGTTACGATCTCTTTTCATCTCATCCTCTTATTTGCACACCTCGATGTTAAAGGACCACAGGCAATTCAGAAGGTTCTCTCAAGGGGTAATATAGACTCAGGTCGCGCAGATTGGGCATTTCTATACGTTCTACAAGTGCCAGGAATGTTATTGGGCTTCTCATCCGTGTCTTACTTTTTGGGGCTTACTTTTTTGGTGACTTCTCCACTATGGGATCAAGAGTGGGGCACTGAAACAAAGGTAAGGTCTTTTTCTACATATATTAGTATGATCCAATACCTCTAACATGAGTTTTCTTGACAGTGTGCTATAATTTATCTGGGGTATCTATTATTCGGTGGGTTCAACTATTTTTTTGTTTGTTCAGTTGTATACTCAAGATGTCTCTATTGAAATGTTAGAGGTAAAACTAGATCTAGAAGCGGAGGAAAGAAGATTCATGTATATTCTGTCATTGCAATCGAAGTTTTATTATGTTACGCTTAGTAATGATAAATCATGATTCGTTGATCATTGACAAGAGCGAAAAGAGAGTTATAATCCTCGTCCTCAAGAGAGCTCACCCTAGCAGGTATATTACTATATCGATCTACTTCTCTTTCTTATCCTTCCTACTTCCAACAAATCACCCACCCACTCGTTCCAAAAGGACGTAATGCATACTTCACATAGAATGAAACACCAGAGGTTACACATACATGAGATTGAGCTTAATGATACACACACTGCAGGAATCTGATACCACGGGATGTACCTACAGTACGAAAAAGGGGATGTAAGTACTGTACCAATACGGAATCGTGCAAAACTTCCGAATTAAATCGGAATCCTAAATATTATACCGTATTAATACTGTAACAATACCGTAACAATACGGTATTTTGCCAAAGATAGTACTGGATCCACCCGCTTTTTTGGTACTGTACTTGCGTTATATGGGTATGTACTCTAGAGTACTAATACTCGATTACGCATATGTACGTTCGCTCAGCCTTGATGAGATAAATACCAAGAATCAAACATCAAATACATGTAGGCATATCTAAACAGTATAAGCTTCTTCAAGCATTTCTATTGGTTAGGATGTATGGTCTGCATACCACATATATATAGAAGCACATATATATGTACAGACAAAGAATTGTTCCCGAAATAGGACCCGGGAATACTGGGAAGGGAGCTGGCATCGAAAGGGCAAACACTGGCAGGTAGAATAAATTGCGGATATAGTCTTATACCAAGCTTGATACATGTTAATATTAAGAACTCGTGCGAGCGAAGAGGGTTCGCGAGCCAGCTCATCGAGAAGGAAGAACTGATATAACTGTAGAATTACCCACATAATACAATGCTTACACGATCAGACTGGACCCGACCGATTCTGTTATTCACCTAGGAATAGACCATGGACTGGGCATGTCACTACATGTCCTAAAGACCTAAAGGCAAACACACTTTCTTTCTCACCCATGGCCAGTCGCTCTTGGGAAGTACTCGGACTAGATGACGACGCTGAAAGCTTCTATTCGCCCACTACATATAGATTTGCGGCCGCAGGCCGCATTCCACTTGTATATGTATACACTCGCTTATAGGGTGATGACGGTCAGACCTTTGCGAGTGTTGGCGCTAGAGTTTAAAGGTTTGTCTACCCTATAGATGTAATACATTTATACTAGATCAATTATATGTCGGTACATACGTGCAGGGATTTGTATGTGAACCATTTAGGTTTGTACTTTACGGAAGCAGTCAAATTTGCAAAACTAAGACTACATGCAGTTTCAGCTCTGATCTACTCACTGCACTAAATCTTTCCTAGTACATGTATTTACGTCTGTATGGAACGAAAAAAGTAGTATACAACGTAAAGTCACTGACGTGGCTTTGACTATTACCCCCATGACCATCATCTCTAGATCTACAAGTACTTATTTGGCTTCAGATATTGTGTATGTTATGTCCACTACCATCGAAAAGTACACTTGCAATGATTACTTGTACATCTACATGCTCACATTTATATTTACATAGCTTAAATCTTCATCTTCCTTTTTCGACGACACCTTCTACTAGTAGTGATCGATCAAGAATCATATTAATCAACCATTTAATTAAGAATTTAGAGATCAGTTGAAATTAATTAAAGTCAATCGAGATTTAATAAGCACGCAAATAATTGTACGCTTCACTTGGATATAGAAGGCTCTACACTGACATAGCAGCGTCGATAATATAATATTATCAATGTTGTCGGGGAAGTTCTTTGGCCACATGCACATACTTTAAGCGCCAGGCCACTAGCTACAGGGCCCGATTATAGATCTAGAGCCAAAAGCGCAAATTTTATGCAGGGTTAGTTTAACGTTACACGATAAATATATAGTTATCAGGCGTACTTATATAATTAGTCTAGCCTTGCAATTGCTGTGTTGTGTTCTAGCTAGTGAGGCTCTTCCATTTCGCATAGACTTGATCAGAGATCGAGATGAAGCACACGAACCATGACGTTGGAGGCCTAAGCTCAAAGCCCGCGTGAAAGCCAGGCAGCGAATTAGCTAACAGATGATTCGCGATCGGTTAATTATGGTGTTGCTTACCGTAACCAAGAATTTTTATAATCATCATTTATCACTCGAGTTGCATACGGCCTAAAAAGTATGTGGTATTATTTAATTAAATAATAGATTTATGCATTGATGATTCTAACAACTTGTACACAATTTCGTATATAGTCTTAGCTAATTTCATACGAGAGATTATGGGTGAGAACGATATTATGTGGTTGATATTACACGCTAATATTTAATTGGTTCAATCATAGCTTCCGCTAGCGGTGATATGATTTGACCTATATACGGCGGCCGGCCGCGGGACGCCGATCCCGACCGAGTCTTCTCCTTCATGATATAAAGTACCATACTGCGATTCTCTAACGCGTATGACTTGATATCTTAATTCTTATGAGGCTGGAATCACCAAGGCTTGCTGGCTAAATTTGATTAAAACCTAAAACTCCAATTTTTCGCTGGTTCTAAAAAAGACTGCGTATGCACTCAACACGTGGGAGTTTAGGTGCCTGAAACTAGCCGTATCAGCCGCCACAAAGTGCGAACCAGACACTCAGGCACTAGTTTTAAGTGATATCATACACCCGCCACTGCTATTTAATTAATTGCAGAATAAGAAAGGTTCTGCAGATGATGATCTGCATAGCAACCAAAAAGCAGCCAATGAATTTTTGTCTTGGCCCTGAAATTTGTATGGGGGAAAAAAGTACGAAGACACTTCATATATACTCACTCAAAAATATAAATATTTCCCTAAAAATACAAAAAAATAACCAAATGATAGCCCTTGCTCTAGCCATCACCTTAATAGCAATCCTAAACTTTCAAACATGTTTTTCGTGGAGTTCGGAAAGAGCATCAGTGGAAAAGAGGGGATGGAGGTTGCATTGCAAAAGCTGTAACACACAATTCAAATAACCTCTTGGCCGCCAAGTGTCCTTTTTTTTGAATCGACCAATAGCAGACGCCCGCTGGCCCTTACGGCCCAAAATGGGGTTCTCAGTACTTACCCTTAAGCCCCGGTACATACATACTCAATTATCAAAGTCTAGATCTGCTATGGACCGTATGATATCGTTCTCTGCGCGAATACCCTTAAAGTTAGATAAGTTGTCTGACATATCCTGCCCCACTAGATAAAGCCCTACTTTATTGCAGTAAATACATGTATCTATCTAGAATGGCCCAGAATGGAGAATACAAGGCTAGAAGAGTCCAGACCTCAAACTTGAGCTGCCTTTTGGGAAAATAATTCATCATATAATCATGTAAACCTTCTTTAGAAGATATATTTAAAAGCGCCACTATCCAACGCAAATAAAATATGGTCACCGGCCGCCAATGCGGAGAAGTTCCGGTCCGAACCCAGAAAAATACAGACGAATATTTATATAGGAAATTTAGCTATTATTACTATAGTACGTAACCCCTCGATTTAAGCATTATTGATATAATATATTATAAAGGCGTCATGTCATGAAATGCATCTTGGAAATACATCAAGTTATCATTTAATATTTTACAGGGGTTCGAAGGTAGCTTAATGAAGTACATAATTAAGGAAAGAATGAGGCAATATCGGAAAGATATCAACCATAGCTTTTCGATCTATATCACATTGTAGATACATGTATGCATCTCCTACATGGTTTTTAATAGTAGGCTGCATGCTGGTCATACATCATTCAGGTTCTAAAATCGTGGTAGACATGATTCGTAAGGCTGCCTAATTGATACATACATACATATGTGAGTGAACAAACGTACCACCGTTCATGAACGCCATGTCTCATCAGCGGGCGCAGAAATCACTGTAACAGTCTCTTCACGAGTGGGGTATGCGAGCTCATGATTATGTCAGAACACTTACACCTGGAGAATCTATATAGATCGGTAGTAGTGGTTGGGTCATGCACTCATGAGATATCACTCGGCGCCAGAAATTCCGATTAGTAAACTTAAAATCCTCTGTGCTACAAATCCATATCGCTATACATTCGTATCACCTAGGTCTTGAGGGGATTCTTCTCAGCAGTGGCGCCTACGAGTTTCGCCGAGGAGCAAACATGTGGAGTACCCAGAAGCTGTGTTTGGGGGAGAATATATATATACCCGGCCTGCGCGACTGATCTCAACTTCGAATTGGGCCATATATCACCTAAATATTGTCAGAATACATGTAGCTTAGAAATTAAAAACTACTTAGCCAAGGCCACCAAAAGCCCACTATAAGTACTATAAAGCAAGAGTTTGAAGTGGTCAATAATTAATTTTGCTAACATTTGACACATGCGATCCAGCATAATTGCAATCTTGGAGAAAAACAAAAGCTAAAAGTTATAACGTGTGTACTCACAAAAGCTACCGAAGCAATAAATAAATAAACCCAAAGTGCTCCTCGAAGGCGAGATTAACGAGTGATATATCATGATTCATCACCTTAATCTTTTTTTATTTTTTATATTATTTTTTATTTATTCATTAATTGCATGCAACCCTACGGTTATGGCGATACCTTGCATTGTTCGAGCATAAGCCTATATCTAAATTCACTCGTGTCAACGTGGACTTTAATTTATGAAGCGATTGACTGCTCACGATAGTAAGATTAAAGAGTTTAACACACAATTACGTTTATAGTATAGAATTTTATTGACCTATTTTAAATAACCCTTTTCAACGCAAAACATTATCTACTTTTAGACATTATGACATTACATATACATCGAACTAGCTTAGACTCCGTAGATAACCGGGATTAGCCCGTATCCCCAGAGAAACCAATAGAATTACTCTTCGCCCCTTTCTTGTCTTTCCTTCTGCAATCGCTGCAACATTGGCGACCGAATTCTTACTTGCTTGCCCCATTTATAAAATCCCCATGGGATTGGAATGAGCGCCATTGAGATAAACCCAACTGTAGTCGCCGCCCAATTCGGACCTAGTTTTGAGTATAGCTGAGGGCCAAATAGAGGCAAGATTCCGCCAAGAATGCTATTACTTAGTGTTAGTCTGTATATCAAATTTTTAGATACAACAGGATGTGTTACCTTCTCGTTACAGTGTTCCCCGCCAAAGCAGAGGCAGCATAAACATCATAACTCGTGATTAGGTAACTATTCCCGTGCAAAAATATCCAAGTGTTTCCCAACCCAAAAGGAATTCCACTCAGAATAGGCCAGATCCAGTGAATACTGGTTGGCACACAGGTCCAAGCAAACCAAAACATTGCGGCAGGACTCAGGACTGCGGCAAGACATGTGCACGCAATACGGGCCTCTGGTGGTCTCTTGCCTGTATCTGGGTCTACTTTATGCATCTCATAGATCTTCTGGTTGACTGGATCTAGTATAGCCGACAATATCGTGCCAACACCAATGCCACAGAATGCAAGGCCAGCAGTTGATGGGCCCCAGCCACGAATCTGAGCAAAAACAATTGGATATGCTGTGAAGCAAAGGTAGAGAATACCGTAGATAACCGCAATGTAAAGTGCCCAAAATATACTATCACAATCTCCCTATCAGTCAAGTTATTCTAGATGTGTCCCGAAAGAAATCGCCTCAACTTACCAGAGTGGTTCAGTAAACAACATGATGATTGGTCGTTGTAGACTGGTCTTGATTAATACCCAAAAGTCACCTTCACCATCTTTGTAACAGAACCTTGATATATATCTATCGTCTCCAGTCTCTTTGCGAAGCCTTGCCGCCTTCTTTCGCATAAGAACAGGGGCGTATGTTTCCGGAATGAAAAATGCTAAAACACCTAGTACTCCAGCAATGATGAAAACTAGCCAGCTGGTCCATCTCCACCCAAGGTGTCCATAAACCAAACCGCCAATAATCGGTCCAAGCACAGGTCCGTTCATTGGAGCTAGTGAGAAAATAGTAATTGCCATAGTTCGACCATGCTCATCGAAGATATCCCCAATAGTTCCAGGTGCGTTTGATATTGTGACTGATCCAGCGAAAGCCCTATATTTAAATATTCTAGTGAGTTGGATCCATATATGTAAATAATATTAAGGGGGTTTAATATACCCTAAAAAGCGAACTATAAGGATAGTCGCAAAGTTCTGAGCTAGACATGCTGGGAGCACGAGGATGAAAAATAATGACAGGGAAATCAGGTAGACTGGTCTTCGCCCGTAAAGCTCGCTCATTGGTGCCAAAACCAACGGTCCGGCTGCCAGCCCAAGCATATATGTTGTCATACCTAACGTGGCGATGGTCTTAGATGTTATACCAAACTCTTTCATGATCCCGGGAGAGCCGGAGACATAAGAGGTAGAGTAAAAAACGCTATGTATATAAACAGTCAACAATCGGCCCACCATGTAATCAAACCAACGGTTGAGTTATAACATACACCATCCAAGTCTGTAAGGATACCAATGCAAGAATTAAAGCCTTCGTCTTAGTCGTCCAATTTAAAGCGTTCTGTGGATCATCTGGACCTTCCCACTTGACCTCAAACTCTGTCCCGAGAACTGATTCAAGATCTTTTGCCGTTCTCCCAGACTTTCCAGAAGCTCGAGAAGCTTTGGTAGCTATCCTGGTAATATCAGGGTCCACTAATGTCGCAATTCGTGTGACGCCTTCAGCATAATCGTCAGAGCTGGAGCTTGTGGTTGATGACGCAGAATCGATATCATTTCCATAATCACTCTTTCCCGCTCCAACGCCTGATTCAATATCTTTTTCATCCAGAGAAGACGAGATAGCATCATCGTTTTTTGCCATTGCGATACGTCTCAGATAAAATTTGCGTGTATGTATTTCTTCAGCCTAGGGTCGAAATCTTGGCTTTGTTGTGTGTAGAAGCTATGAATATGTTTGTGGGTTTAGATAACCCTGCTCGCGTTAGTTTGTTTCCCATCAAGCCAAGAATAAAACTCCTGTTAAATGGTGACCCTACTTGTAAATAATAAAATACCATGAGAACATATCAAAAGAGAAAGGAAGGATTTATGGAGTTTTGAAAAAAAGTTGGCACTCTATTTATTTCCTTTCAGGGGCGGGGAAGTAAGCAACAGGTATTTATAAAGCAGGGTGTTCAACCTCCGACAAAACGCCATGTTAACCGTCCAATTGAGTAATTGAACTCCCTGTAAAATGTCTTCCTATGCGTAACAATATCCAACCTCCTGCTGGATTCCGCCGATGTTAGCTAGTGAAAGTCAATTTTCTGTCCCTCGGTATATTATGGCCTGCCCCTCAGTGCCGAATATCCGAGATTTTAATGCGGCGTTCGTTCCACGCCAAGTTGGCCCCGCCCATCAGCAGGAAGGTTCACGGTCCATCATTGATAAGTGACAGGTGGGCATCGTGTCGTGATGCCCTAAAAAGAAAGCAAAGGATCTTCCCGTTAGCTTGTAAGAAGAAATTTTTTTTTTTTTTAATTCTTGCCCCTGAAGATTGCTCAGTACTGTGCGTTGATGACCGAGCATTATTATAGCGAGACATATCGGGACCCGATCTCCTGGTTCGGCACCGTCCGCTCTACCAAGTGTCCGGGATAGGTAGAGGGAGAACAAAACACTCGGCGTTTTATTTACTTAGAAGCCCGCATGTCTCTAGTTACCGGTTATCGTAGGCTTTAGGGCTTCGGCATCACATCCTAAAGAGCCAAGGGAAAAATATATGAAGCGAGGATAAACCCTGTCCTTCAAGGTAGAGCCTCTAGCCTTAGCCGCTGACAAGTGATATGATTTGAACGTCGAAAAACTTTTTAAAACCCGGTCCTTGAGCAGCGGATAAACGTACCCCCCCCCCCCCCCCCGGGGCTTCATCTTGATGGGCGTCTAGGGTTGAATTACGATATAAAAAGGAAAAACACGGCCTGTTGACTGTTGATGGACCTAACCTATCGGTACATGTCATAAATTCCCGTGCCCTCAGAACTTAAAGCTATGAAGGTGCCTACATAACTGGATCGATCTCAGCTGACATTCTTATGCAACGTATAGATGTAGAAGTTACATGATATAGACCCACAATTATTGGGGCCAATCGGCTGGGAACCTTCACGGTAGAGTAGGTACATACAGTTGAGGCGATGATTTCCAGTAGGTACATATCAGGCCGTTCTTTTCCTCAAATTTTTGAAACCTTGCCTGGAAGATACGCAGAATAGCCGCCGATTTGCCAGAGGGCATGCACCAGAGATGGTACATACAAGAATCCTTTTTCGACCCCGTTCGATGTGAGTGATGCAGACTTATTGAAAATCCAAGGTTGAACCACAAACGCTTCAACTTTACAAAAAGCAGTGATTTAAGCACTAAACATAATAACCCAGTCCTTGAATACCTATGATATCAGATATTTCATCAACAAGTTGAGTTTGGGCCCGCAAAGAAGGGGTGGATTGATGCAGACGTTGTGCAAGCGTGTTTTGCGCTCAACTTAGATGTAGATGATGTTGAGGGACTAGCACTCTAGTGTGTTCTACCTCTGCAATTAGAAACACGTCTGGGAGGAGGATGCAACCAATCGGTACATAGACGCCGTCTCTCACAATAATCATCATTAGGGAAAGATAAAGTAAGCCCATTCCCAAGAGCGATTCACCCGTCATTAACAGACAGGGGTAGAACTAAGAACCCTATTCGTCGACTGGGTACGTTTGGACTTTTGGTATATGTTGTACCGCATATAACAGTGGTGATGGAGGTGGTGCATGTGTTTAACTCGACGATATGTATATAGTTACGACATAAGCTTGTACGATTATGTCCCCCTAATGTGTACTTGGTTCGCCATTCTTTGAAATACAATATCTCCAATGTCAATCATGTAGGTTTGGCTCAATTTAAACTAAAAAAAAAAAATTTTTTTTTCTTGGCTCACTTTACTTCACGATATATCACTCGTAGGTTCGTCCATTGGCCTCACAATTAACCACAAATCGCATAAACATATAGGTATATATTATTCCATTACATTAATTTACCACATTATGTTCATATTCTGTTTTATATCGGAACGCAACATTAATATACTAAATAAAGCAAAGAAAATAATTGCGATCCAGGGCTATGCGTTTCTAGACCTCGTAACCAACAATAACCAGAAAACTCCACAAACCATTATACAATCACCAGACTCATAAAACAAGCGCCATGGAGCCGTAAGCATATTGCTTAACAGCAAATAAAAGAGAACACAATTATAATCAATGATTAACAACCCTTAAACTTCTCCTGGGGCTCAGCAACACTCCCCAAAACGTTGGCTCCTCACCCAATAGCTCATTTGCGCTCTCACTTCTTTCCAACTCTCCTCCTAGCCCTTCTCTACCCATTCCTCCGCTATATTCCATGTTTGAGGCTAGCTTCTCACTCGCTTCCCTCAGCTCCTTGATCTTTTTGCGATACCACATATAAGCTGCCCCTAACAGCAACAGCACTAGTAAAACAATTCCAGCCAAACTAGCACCAATTATAAGACCAACATTAGGTGATTTTCCAGGATCGTTGGGATCGCCCAAGATTGTACTGTTGGCATACGTGGTGGTCGTAGACACAGAGCCATCGGAATTCGTGATAGTCGCGACAGTCGGCGCAGCAGCTGTGTGTGAAGTGATTGTAGTATACTTATAATCTCCCGGCTTCCCAGTTGCAACAGGTGAGTCAGGGTCTGCAGTCATCCCGGGTTTTGTAACTGTTGCCCCACCAGTTGCATCCCCCCAATAACACTAATCACCACATCTGGTACGCGGTAAAACCCCGCGACCTCTTTCTCTGCACTGTTGCTCGAACTGCTGGTGGGCGATTTATATTCCGTTTTCCATTGTGTCGTATACGCATCAAACACGTAGATTCCGGGACTATCACAGCTCAGTTCTTGTCCCACATAGCCACCGATAACCACCATATCGCTGCCATGGAGCTCGCAAGTATGGCCTGCTCGAGCAGAAGGGACTGTTTGACCGTCTGTATCAACCTTGATCCAGGAGAATGACGGGATTGAGAGAATCCACATGTCGTTATACTGGACTTGTTCTCCATAAGGTACCAGATTTTGCCCACCAAAGAAGTAGATATTATGGGAGGAGCCATCAGATGCTGAGCCGACAACTGCGCAAGGATTAACACGGTATTTAGGAGTAGTGCCATCAGTGGCTTGCTTTGTCCATTTACGGCTGGAGACGTCATAAATATCGATTATATTTAGCTGGGAAAAAGTGTCGTTCAGGCCGCCACCAATGCCGACGAGGATACCTTCAGAACCCCACGGAACCTGAGAAGGTTAGTGTGTGTAAAAAGTCTTAATAATGTGCTGACTTACAAATAGTAAAACACTATCTGCTCTTTCCGGGACTCCAGCATCCTCTAGCCCATTTTCGGTGACGTTAAGAAACTGGTTCTTGTTCATATCAAATTGTAGTAAACTCTTTAAATATATACGTGGTGTTTGTTTACTCCACCCTTCGGTTGTGTAAGAGTCCAAATGACCACCAAAATAATAACCAAGCCCTCTGTCAGGAATGCTAACGCCTGCACCTTCTGCAGCTCTTTGTATACTCTTACCCCCAGAGTCACTATCAATGGAAGTCTTTGAGGTGATATCTGACCATTCTGCTGATTTGATGTTATATTGCCAGAGCGAGAATGCAGTTGGTGCCGCATCTGGTTTATCAGAGAAGAGGCCGCCGTAAAGGTAGATATTCTCACTGTTATGCCAGAGATAGCTGCCTCTTGTATTAGTGTGCTTCATGAATACATTGAAAGGGGTGCAGACCCATTCGCTACTGCAGGTGGGCCATCTGGTTGTGGAAGGCCTTGAAAGTATGGAGCAGCAATGCTCCAATCTTTGCCCAAATCTAAAGTCAGGAAATTATTGTCTAACTATATATATTAGTATTCGACTCTTCTGCAAAAAAAGGGGAGAGCTCATACGTACTCCATGTATTTAAAGACTGGTCGGGGCTTGTTTTTGCTTGTCCTCCATAGATATAGACTGTATCTCCTACCAACACGCTCTGGTGGCTCCATCTCAAACAAACGTCTGTCCTACTCTCTGCCCTCTTGGCCCTATTATTCCAGCCCCATCTCTCCCGACCAGGCTCAATTCCTGGAGCTATCATCCAGTCCTCAGAATCGACTGGGTTTGCGTCCGCCTCTGATCGATAACCGTGGTGATATGGGGAAGAGCTGAATAGAAGGACAAATATAGAAAAATAGAAAGTTGCCCGCGGTAACAAGTACAAGCGTGGCAGAGGAAGTATGGAGGTTGAATAGCTAGCGCGGAATAGTCGATACATGTATATCCCAACTAGGTATTGATTCAATAAAATAACTATATTTTAAAAAAGTAATAGTTGATCAGATGTTCAATTCGCACCCAGAAATGGATGAAAATTTGGGATAAAAAATTCGGACCTAGAGGGAGGTAAACCGAGACTACATGTACCAAAATGTGGGTAGGACTTAAGCCACACAGCAGTAGATATTAAGCAGATACCTATGGGAATTTAAGAAAACATGACTTCACAACATGACGAGAACCTGCTTTACCGCCATAGATATCTGTTCGCCCCTAATTCAAAAATCTGGTTAAATACCATAGATCAGCAAAGCGGCCGTTCCTCAACTAGATAATGATTGTCATTATCAGCTGCAGATAGAGTTGGTAGCCGCAACTAAACAAGACCCTGACACCACGCTAACGTCATACGTCACAGTCTTGGCAGTCGACTCCAACAGTCAGAAGGCATGCATGACGGTGATGTTCCATCTCTCTCTGCACACATAAGCTTTAGTTGAATAAGACCTTTACGAGGAATTGAACCTTATTAAACTCCACAACCCCATTCTCTCCTCCACTATTGCAGTTCTATGCAGTGTCGGTGACACTGAATGCCGATCACCTCTACTCAATATAGAGCTTTATCTCTTTAAGATATACTTATATACATGTATTTAGAATAAGCTTCTCAAAAGACTACCGCCTCATGCGGGCTATGCATACTCATTCCAGGGGCGAATTAAGACTATTAGTTAACTACTCACACTTTAATTAAGCCATAAAAATTCTTGGTAGCGACCTCACAAAATTTCAAAGGACTTAATTAACGCGCGAGTAGGGGTTGGGAACAAGAGTCTCCCATCGGCCCTTGTTTGCCGATGAATGGCCATCTCCCATCGAACAAATTTCTCCTTAATTCAATAAATGACTTCACCTAGGCTCGTCCCCGACGTACCCGTCTGCTTCCATGCTGGGCAGCTTGCTGCAAGTAATGGGCTGGGTACGAGACTAGGCTACACCTACTCATAAGTCATGTCTCTCCAATTTCCTATACATCAAATTAATGTCGGGATATTTACTCTAGACGTCGACTAAAGTACATAATGGTCAATAGCAATATTTATATCATGGGCGTCCATAAAAAGTTACTTTAGATGGCTTTGTTGACTCTATAAGACCCTTGAACTTACAATAACAAGATAGACTACATGAACCATATCGCGCGAGTTGGAGTAAATGTTTCGAAATGAGCCACGGGTTTTAAAGAACCTGTCTTGGCAACCGAGTGATCGGTTTTGAAGCAAAGTTCTTGAGTGTATCTCAACCAGGGAAACACAAACAAGTGATGCTACTCATAGCTTTGGTGAGGCATTGCCAGAGGACCTATTGGCTCTCCTCGAGTACCGCTGTTTTTCAGGGATATAGGTTGTTAGCTAAACCAGATTAATTCAAGATTTATATATGCAAAACCAAAATAACTTCACACATCCAGCAAATTTGCTTAGTCTTTTGAGAAGAGCGAGAATCAGGCCCTCTGTACTATAACTCTATTTTGGGTATGTGCTAGTGGTTGTTGGTTTCATTGTCATAGGTTATGAAATAAATGCACTATAAACCGTGGCTAGTAACGTCCGAAATTAGTCGGGTGACGGAACATGATATGAAGATCGGTACGAGAGAACTCTTGGCGATAGTTCTTAAACTCGAGCTCGCAGTGTCTGGTTAATCGTGCGTAGTTGCACTGAGCGTCGACGTTCCCATCGAGTGACCAGTCATGAGCGAACGTATGTATCTAACTTAGCAGAAGCCCATGGCCGGAGTAATTAAATTAATGACAAGTGTATACCAAGATTGGAGACTATGTTCCACGGAGTTGTCGTTCCATCTCTTGAACCAGTCCATGTAGCACGTGCATAGCAACTGCGCGAGCTCCGGGAGGGTCGATATGGAATAGGGCACATTGAGTGCTTAGAATTGTGCGTGTTCAGAGCTTTATAAGACCAACCGGCGAAAATCTGTACCTGTAGATCAAAGACACAAAATAGATCGTATTTGGAAATCGCCCCAATCAGGTGTGAGACTAATTTACCCAATAATATAAGGGACCGTTTAGGGACGCACAAATCCTCTGTGTTCACACATTGAACAGATGAATCGACATTATATGATTCGTCGATGTATAACCAGATGTTGGAAATGTTCTGCAGTCGGCGCTCAAATCGACAGATGTTTGTTTCTAAAAGAAGCATCGTCCAATATCTTTGTTTTCTGCACTTGAGTGACATTACGATTTTGTGTTTTGGCAAACAATACTCCAGCCCAGATGGTACCTGTCTCTGGGCAACGTTGTTGTATGTAGTCTTCTCTGTGACATCGGGTTTAAGTGTTGAAATATCACCTGGTACCACTGCATTGCTGCACATACGTAGTGTATGTCCTCGCGGATATATGTTGACTATGTGTTTGTCGATTGTCGGTAAGCTACACGAGGCCTTTATTTTTGTGGTTTCAACATCTGCTAATTTCGGGTTAAGTAGGTATCTTTTGTGCGTTCAATTGAGCGTTGTCAGGCCACCTGTCCCAAAGGGTTTGCATCATACGTGGAGTAGAGTACATGTACCTATATTCTATATTTTCTCTCCTAAGTGAATCCACATCAATACCTAGAGATAATTAAGCCTCTCCTTACCTCCCAACCACTGTATTGGTCAATATAACCGAAATCATCCACGTGTAGCTAACGCCTGTTTTACGATCAATAATCAAGGAACTTGTGTGTGCATTTGAGACAAGACTACCACGCGCTTCTGGCGGCAGTAGCGGAGGGTACAGAGTGGTGAATGGTTAAATTTTATGGCTTCGTTTGATTCGTCCCGCAGACAGCCTTGATTCGACGTTCACTACAGTATCATTTTGCCGGAGGCGTTCTCTTGGGTAAGTAGGTCCTTTGCCGAGTCAGACAATGATATGTAATTGGGCTCTACGCGTTCCATCCGCATAACCCCGTGCCAGATGCTCTTAAGCGAATCCGTTTCACATGTTTTCATAATGCTGGGTCTCCAATCTTAGATCTCAAGAATCGGGATTCACATTCTCATCTTAGTGGTAGTGTGATCGTTTGTGTAAAACGTGGAAAGTTTTTTTTTGACGAGATAGTACCTCATCGTCTTAACTGGGGCACGTGTCATGGTGTCTTTGGTTCATTAATGACCGCCACTGATTGATTGGAAGTTATGACGCATGGGTTAACCCGCCGGCTGATAGGAAATAGATAGCCCGAGTGATAGAGTATGAGTCTAGGTTAGGATAATATGGACAGAAGGCGGAGACCTTGCTGATATTCCAACCCATTTAGAGTTCAAATTAAGGAGCTCGGTAGTCGTATTTTGTAGATGACTGCATAGATTCCCTGAAGCACCTTGGCCCTGACGCGTTGATGTTTCATTGTGTTGATCGAGTGATAATGTGTGCGATCTCACGTAATCTGACATATGTTTGCCCTTCAATGTAGTGGGTGTTAGGGCTGTCAAGTAAGACTAAGTATTCTAGGGCTTGTGGATAAATTATTCGAACGTGGCAGTGAGAATAGAGTACCTAGCTAGGTACATCGAAGCAAGCTCAACTGTTGGTTCTTCTGATGTTCCATTACCCCGGAACCCTTTTTATCTAGTCTTCGGCGCTGAGGCGAATCATAGAGTGGATCGCGGCTCTCGGCCTTTAATCGTACCCTAATAATCAGTCGTTGGCACCTCTCGGGGGTTTTGTATTTAAGCCATGGCCATCTTCGCAGTTTATTTCGAAAGAACGTCCGTGAGTAACTGGGACGCATGAGCATATCAATTGTCGGTCCAGCACAGTAAGTCATCTCATCTGAAACCCTCATAAGAGCTAGTTAGAGATTATCCTCTGATCATCAAGGGGTGGCTTTGCTTCTCGGTGATGGTGATGACCTCGACCCGATTACCAGTAGTGTGTCCCATCGTTTCGGGGGACACGGACCTAGATCGAGAGTGGGCACCGATGGGGTGTCTAACAGATTGCTTTTTTACTTTTCTAGTGGTTTTCCAATGGTCGAGAGCGTTTCATGTCATGTATGTCGTAAATAGAAAAAAAAAACACTAAGTAGAGTATCGTCTGTTACACCCACAAAGTGCAAATTCGCAAGCAACAACTTTTTCCGAGGCACCATGCGCGATGAAGCCATATCTTGCGCTGCTCCTCCCCCTTTGAGCGATTTTGGCGAAGGACTTCTGGAATTGTTCGCTGCTGTTCTCTGCACGAAAACCTGCAGGTTTGGTTATGCAGATTACCCTCATTGCTGCGTTGTCTCAGTGTTTGTTTCCGCAGGAACCCCACCCCACATCTCTAGTAAAAATGCCGAAAACCGGATTGCTTTCGGTGCGTGCTCGGTTGGTCTGTTCACACCGTCAGTCAGTCAGCCATCCGATGCTTGTGCAGACAAGACAGGCAAGGCCCCATGGATGGGCGGCGCTTCCAGGAACGGCTGTGGTGGATGGATGGAACGTGCCCTGCCTAGGCCACCTCCAGTATGTACCACCAACCACCACCTTTCACAAACCAGCAGCGGGTCTTTCTTCGTATCGATATCGGGAGGGGTCAACCTTAGATACAGTTTAAAGTTATCGGTTGTACTCTACCTGATGCGTACTCTAGAGTAGAGTACATGTAGGTATGATGGATACATGTATGTACCTGTTGGTTGGAGACTGGAATTTAAGACAGGGCAGAAGCAGATGTAAAATGTTTGTGGAACGTTTCAGAGCAAGTTATTCCGTTTTCCGATGTTCCATTTTCATTTCTAGATGCGATGGAAGATTTGATTTCTTCCTCGCCTTCGGCTTCGAAGTCCTCGTCTCCGTCTGTCTTGCCCTGGCTTGCTGTGGTGCTGCTGCTGCTTTGCGTTCATTGCAGCACTCCTTGTCTTAGCCCGTGCCCTCGCCAATCGCCCTTGACGCCCGCTCGAGCCCTCCCTCGTCATTTCCCAATCCCCACCACCGGCAGCTACCATACAGAGTAGGGTAGGATCGTGCTTCTGGTCGGTCTCGTCCCTCCCCCGCCATTCATCTCTCCGCTCAGGTCTCCACTCAGTTATCCACGCCTGCTACTACTGCTTCTACTGCTAGTGCTGCCCTGGTTCTTTTTCCCCACGCCTGTTCCTCCTTCCCCCTCCCTTACATTCATACATTCATTCATACATTCACACAATTCACCTATCCGTCTCAACGTCTATCGTCCCATCTTCCACACACACACACGTCCCTCCCCACCCCCAGCTGCCTTTCCTCATCGATTTATTCGTTGCTCTCCCATACCCCCCCCCCCCGCATCATTCTGTATCATCACCATCGTCACTTTCCTCTGAGATAGATCAAGCAGAAAATTAGAAGGAAAGAGGAGATTTAACAAAACGTGCGTTTGTTTGCTCTTTTATCGCGTGCGGTCGGCAGTTCAGGCAGGTTGCTCGGAAACACGTCTTTCGGTTTACTCGTTCTACACGGAGCTGGCTTGGATTGCTTTATTGTAAAATTAGCATCCATAATCGCTTTCTGTAGGTTTCTCTTAGATGTTCTGCTGCTACTGCTACCGCTGCTCCTCCTCATCCCACTACCTATCATCCCATTATTATTACCACCTGCTAGAAGGGTTGCGTAACATTGCTTCTTCTTGCTATGAACGAATCATGATCATGACTGGAGGAAGTAAGCTGATGACTGTTAAAAAGAACCCGGCTGTTTTCCAAGCCCCAAAGCGAGTCCGTGTTTATCATCAGCTCTAGAAACAATAGAAAAAGTTCCTGTTGGCATTTCTCTGGTTTCAGGCGGCTTCCTGCAGGCACCGTCATTTGGTTGAGTTGAGAACAAAGGGAGTGGACAGACCAGGGTCAGCCATTGCGAGGCAACAGCACCACAGTCAAGAAGAGCCAGTCAGCCATCCAACAGCCTCATTTTAGTGATCGACCATCGAAGGCAAATAGAATTTTTATTTATCGTTTCTATCACCTTGACTTGTCAAATCTTTTTAGCTGTGAATCTGGTGAGTTGCCGTTCGCTTGATTGTCTTCCGGTAGGCTTGTTTGTGTTAAGTTTGACTGACCATGTGAGACACTCTCTAGCAGATTCTCTCCCATATAACTACCTGTGTGTATGATGACTCTTTGCTCTAGCTGAAATAGTTATTAGAAGAACAACGTCTGATTTCCCTTCATTCTGTAGTTTACTCGCTGCGACCCAACAAGCACTTCTCAACTTCACCCTCCGGAGAAATCCAATACAGTTCGTTAACACCCTACACTCCCACCGTCTCCTTCAAGAAAAGTAGGAGGCATGTCCCTCCCAGCCGCATACACCGACGCACTCGACGCCCTCAACCGCGAAATTAGCAGAGAAAACCCTACAGATGTTCTCCAGTTCTGCGCTAACTTTTTCAATCGCCGCCTTGAAGCTCAGCGGGCCGAGTTTCTAATTTCTTCTCGTCAGGGTTTTTCCTCTTCAAATCCATTTGGTGGGATGTCAACCACAACAACATACACTGGAGGAGAAAGCCTTTTCCCAGGACCCGGACTAGGTCTTGCTGTAGACGGCGGCCGCGAGAGCCCATTCTCTCACAACCCTTTTTCAACCACCATTACGGAGGAGGATGAAGATGTAGGCCAAAGCCCGACCACGCCAAGCTTCCGACCAAATCCCTTAGTAAATCCCGACCCATCGAACCTTGGAATGCTGTCGTCATCCCCGGGTCAGGGACAGTCGCTATTTTCGCCACGCGCGAGGTTTGGTTTTGGTAACGACCAACCCCCACATGGTCCCCCAGCCAACAACCACCTACACCCCAATTCAAGCTTCATAAACTCTTCCACGGGTGGTGATTTTCCATCAAATTACAACATGGGTCGACGGACTTCTGTCTCTGCCGAATCTCTCATCCCATCTTCTTCAACGGAAGAGTGGACGCCCCCGGTATACCCGAAAACCGCTGAGCAACTTGAGCGTCTCAAAGTGGCTGTCTCAGGGAACTTCCTGTTCATGCATCTCGACGACGACCAAAGCTCCCAAGTGCTGTCAGCTCTCATGGAGAAACCGATCCCTGGAAAGGGTACTAGAGTCATTACCCAAGGCGATGTCGGTGACTACTTTTATGTGGTTGAGCGCGGCTCGTTTGATATCTATGTAAACCCTGCCGGCAGCATGCTACCAGGCACAGATGGAATGGGCCAGAAAGTCAACGAGATCGGCCCTGGAGGCTCGTTTGGTGAACTAGCCCTGATGTACAATGCCCCTCGTGCGGCTACTATTATATCAACAACCAGTCAAGCTGTCCTATGGGCTCTCGACCGTGTCACCTTCCGTCGTATCTTGATGGAGAATACGTTCAAGAAACGGAGAATGTATGAAGCATTCCTCGAGGAGGTCGCTCTTCTGTCTTCTCTCCTCCCCTATGAACGATCGAAGATTGCGGATGCATTGGAGAGTGTAACCTTCCAAGCCGGGGAGACCATCATCAGACAGGGTGATCCCGGTGACAACTTCTACCTCATCGAATCAGGAGAGGCAGAAGTGGTCAAGAATGGTCTTCAAGAGGCTGTCAAAAAGCTTGGGAAAGGCGACTATTTCGGCGAGTTGGCGTTGTTGAACGATGCGCCACGTGCAGCCAGCGTGAGGGCGATCACAAAGATGAAGTTGGCGACGTTGGGTAAGGATGGTTTCCAGCGATTGTTGGGGCCTGTGACGGAAATCATGCGGAGGAACGACCCCAGGCTGGCCGAAGGCGTGGATCCGCTAGCTGAAGCTGGCAGCCCCGGATCCCCGGGAGGCTTCGATGGTGGATTGGATGTTTTTGGGGAGTCGGCTGGTAGAGGCAGAGCAGTAGAGGTGTAGTGTAGGGAGGATGGATGCCAAATTTCCTTACTACTGCTCGGGTCGTTACGGTGTTTACAGGGCGGGTTGCTTCAATGCGCGGGTGTTGGTCATGAGCTACTGCATGAGTAGCTAGAGGTTGTTTGGTGTTCCTGTTTTCTGTTCTTGTTTCGGTGTAACTGCCTTTTTGCTCATTCACCCCCTTACTTTTCTCCCCTAACCTTGAAATGGATATCCGCGCACGTATCAATGGGCAGGTGAGTTGCACGAGACACAAAAGTTCCTATTGAAGGGAAGGGAACAAAGTGGTGGGGGCTTCATTTCTTCTAGTATCTTTATTTCCTTTTCTTTCCTGGTCAGTCTTTAAGATAGAGGTGGAATGAATGGGATAGTGTGAATGAGGCATTGGGCGAGTTTATCATGTCCCGCTCTACAAGCAAGTAGTTTGGGGGGGAGGGGCTGACGCTCGCTTTCAACAAGGGAGTTTATTCTTATTTTGAGTGCACAATTGAGCCGTCTGCCCATTGATTCTATTTTTTTCTTTCTCTCTCGTTTTCAGTCATGTTTTCTGTTTTGTCTGGAAGTTGAGACCGAATGTCTAAAGCCTCACGGAAATGATCGTAGTACATAAATTGCAGAAAACCAACTATGCAGTGTAGTAATACAATGAGAAAAGAGGGGAAAAAAGGTATTCCAGCCCGGAGCTCTAAAAGAAAGAAAAAAAAGAGAAAAAAAGAAAAAAACCAACTTACACCCTCAATCCACCCCCACTCTACACCGCCGTCCCCTGCCTCCTCTTCTCCAATATCTCCATCCTCACCTTCTCCGCCGCCACCTCTACCTCCAGCACCCTCCCAATCCCCTTGCGCCACCGCTCCTCAAGCGTCTTCAACTCAACCTCCACATCCTTCTGCAGCCCCTTGCGCTCCTTATTGACAACCTCGCACTCCGTCTTCAGCACCATCAGCTCCTCCTCCAGCCCCGTCAGGATCTGCTCGAGCTGCGAATTGTGTACAAGCCACGCGTTCTTGCCAAACTCGTTGAGCAGCGTCAGGTTCGTAAGGCGTGTCTTGAGGTGCGCGCCAGACGCGTACGCAGACGCGAGCGCGCTCTCGTATTCAGCCGCCGGAGCACCATCGACAGGGGCGGTGGGCTCGTACCGGGTAAGGTCGATGCCGCCTGTTAGTGGCTCGCCGGCGGCGACGCGGGCGAGCTCTTGTGTGATGGCGGGGCTGAAGGTGGCGTCGTCGAGCGGCGGAAGGAGGGGGTGTGGGGCGGTGAGGTAGGTGCTGGGGAGCTCGCGCGTTATTAGGGTGGTGATTTGGGAGAGTTCGGAGTCTGTGGGGGTGGGTTCGATATCTGTGGGTGACGTTAGTTAGTGGGTCTGAAGGGATTGGGGTGGAAAGTGGGGCCTTACAGGGGAGGGAGTCGTGGGAGGCGGAGATTAGTGACATTGTGGGTTGTGGATTGTGAGTATAAGGTTGTGAGGTTGTGAGCTTTGGTGGGTTGGGATTTGAGGTTTGGGGATTTGGAGGAGAGTTGGGATATCGCGTTGTGGGAAGCTGTGTAACGGTTGAGTATGGAGAAATTAGAGGTCTTGGCGGTAACGATATTGATACCGCAGCAATAATCGTTATCGACTTTGACCACTTCTTGACACCCAGAGATGGCAAAATCTAGTGGTGAAATAACCGCAGATATAAGTATATTATAAAAACAGAGTTACTCAACAAGAAACGGTAAACCCCAAGTAATTTTATTAGCGGTATGTACTTAAGTCAAATTATTTCGGCATAAAGCACTGAAATTCAGCTTTAATTGTTCTCTTGAGATTTTTTATGATTGCATTATAGTTATATTCAGGGAGCCCAAGTGGAGTATACATCGCAATCCATGCAGACCGTCTTCGGGAAGACATCGGTCCATAATAAGCTTCCAGAACATAGATCGTAATCATCTTGGCCGATTTACTACTCCATAGCAGTGTAGCCACTACAGCACAAAACAGAACCAAGAATGACATACTGCTCTCATATCGCACTACTGCACGCTATGGGTATGGATCTATTATGCCACCGAATTTCACATACTCCGAAAGTCATGATCTCTGAAGAATTGAATACCAAGTGGTGGATAGTTATCTATAGACTCTCAGCATCTAGGGAGCCTAAGTATGAACGGACGAGTACAGTCGGGGTTCAGTATTCAATTCATTTTGCCGAGTCTTTCAGAGTTGACTTTCCTTAGCTAAGCCAATCATCTTATTGGGCCTTAATTTCCTAGTAGTAGCTAACCAGCAATCATTTCCCTGCCAAGACGGGAGATCGATAGACTGTGCCCAGGGTGTTGGAAAGTGATGCACATTTTGGTTTGACAAAGGCCAATTACCCCAAATACCTATATTTTGGCGCAACGCAACACACTCCCTAAATTCAAATTTCGAGTGTAGGGCGTCTCTACAATGGCTAAGAATTCATCCGGTGCTAATTGAATACAAAATAGCCATTCTTCAAGCAAGTCACTATCCAGTAGCGAAAATCAGTGTTAAAAAAAAAAAAAACCGAAAAGTATCGATGGCAGACCTTTTTTATTTATTTATTCTTATGAAAGGAATCTACACATTTAAATTAACCTCAAGATAGACTTGTGTACAGATTAATTCTCTCATGGTTGAGATATCACCCAATGTGCATCATTTTCCGACACCCTGGGTACATATGCTAAGATGATCATTGCAGGCAACAAGGATAGATGTATGCGCTCTGAGAGCCCGTAGAATTCAAGCTATTTAGGTAGTATCGTGCGTTAGTAGGACCTTTCTAATTGAGACCTGGTTGCACGTTGAGAAAGTTGCAGCCCGTATCATAGTTAGAAGCTTAAGCAAGTACCGCATGCTCGACGCTCTTAATTACGGGGTATTAGACTGCAGGGTGCAGCAGCGAGTGACGGTTTGTGAATCGGCATATCATGGTTATCGATCTTCTGTGGAAGGGGAATCGTTTTCCTTGCGGCTCTTTCCTTTGTTTTCAAAAGCTAGATCTAGATGGCAGAATCCACCCGCGGGAGCTTCTATCCATGAAGACCGGCGGGTGGATCAGAGTGCAACTTACCCCGCTAAGTGTGTCTTAGAGGAAACTTTATTTGTGAGCGGCCCGCAGGTTTAGGCAGGCTACATGGCGGAAGCTAAGAGAAGCCAAGCACCGAGGGCACAGCTTGGTCTTGCAGTCTCCAGGCCCTGCCGTCCTTCCTTCCTCCCTTCCTTCTTTTTCCTCTTCCTTCTTTCTGTTCTTCTCTCGCTTTCTCACTCTCCATCCGCATCACTGCGCTGCTTTTTTCTGCTTTTTTTCTACTCTCATCCATCACACACACGGTAGCTCCGCTAGCAAGGTTATCTCATTCACAAATGGTGCTATGCTAAGCGCGATATTCTTAGCACACAGCACGGCATACAACGTCCACTACATGTAAATACCTGTCGCCAGTCCTATCTCCCAGCAACAAGGCCGCTCCTAACGCACTCCACTAACCAACCACACCTCAGCCTTGCATCGACTGGACCTTCCCAACGGAGAATGGGAACGAACTCACCATCTATCTAGGACACAAAACAAACAGCGGACGCAAGTTCACAAGGTGTCACTCGCATTGGCCGGTAGGGCAATAATTCAGAACTATGATGTGACATCTGACTGGCAGCAGCTTCAAGAATCAAAGGGTATACAAGAACCCAATAGACCCTAGATGTACGGCCTATAGGGTCTTGATGAGACAGAATTGCTGCGGATGCTTGGTTGTCTAACTAAACGGCGGGCGAAGAGACCGAGCCTCCCCCCCTCCGGGGTGAAGGGAAGCCGTCTACTGCAATTGCACTAGATGGCATTAGGGTTTACAAGGCTAGCCGAACGAGAAAGAAAAAGTGTGATGGGCGGCGGCCCATATAGTCAGAGATTAGGGTCGTCTCTGCCATACGCGTATCAAGAGACTTTCTTATCACTAATTGGCAAACAGGTTCGGTCATGGCTTCTCACTCGAATGTAAACTTATTTTGTAACCCAAGTCTAAAGCTTGTACGGATATCCAAAGCTCCGAGAGTGTCTAGCAGATTGGTTATCGTTGACGCTTCGAAGGGTATGTCAGTTTGGAATTGGTTTGTTGCTAGATCGACTTTAACATACCCTTTGGAGTGTGAACGCGAAATTGAAACAATAGAGTTCGAAGACGGAACCTTGATTCGGATGATCCTGATACTGAAAATCCGGGGCACAAGCATTTTTCTCAGTTCAAACCAGCACTTATTTACAATGTCTTATCCTGTTTTATGCCATAGCATCCTGCGCCAAATGAGAAGCTATCTCGGCGGCAGGCTAACTTCTCTTAAAGATATGAGTGGAGTAATCTGTTATCAAAAACTAAGTCCACTCCAGTTTCTCGCGCACATATACCTAAAACCCCAAGTGCCTCTTCAAAAAGTCCAACGACAGCTCAAAGGTCTTCACCAGCGCGTCACCTTGCACCACAGCAAAGTGCGCCCCGGGGATAACCGCCCACTCTTTCGGTCCCGTCGATATATCCCACACCGACCGATACGTCTCCCCCGACTGTTCATCCACAAGCATCAACCACGGCGTCGGCGCCAGCGCCGGTAAAGCCGACTCCATCTGGTACCCCCGTACCCAGAAAACACTCTGCAAGGTCAGCTTGTTCTCCCACTGCGGCGTCACCTCTCTCCGCATCCGCGAGTAGAACTCGGCCCCATCCGGCGTCGGCATAAATGAACTCTTCTCCGCCTCTTGCATATCCTCCCCCACCTCTGGCGCAACACGGATATATTCGGGCTCGCTGCCGCTCACCCGCGCTATCCGGTCCGCAAAGATGCGGGGGTCCCAGGCGTCGCGGTTAGGGTGCGTCCAGTTGAGAATCCACTCGCCGTTCGTGAATGTGGCGAGCGACACAACGGCCTTGACCCGACGGTCGAGGGTACCGGTGTGGACGCAGTGCGCGGAGCCGTAGCTGTATCCGAGGACGGCGAGCTTGGCGGGGTCCACTTGCTCGGGGAGACTGAGGAGATAGGTGACGGCATCGTGGACGTCAGATTGCTGCAGGTTCGGGTTGATCTCGTGGCGTGGGGTGCCGTCAGAGGCGCCGAAGTTGCGGTGGTCGTAGAGCAGGACTGAGACGCCGCGGGATTGGAAGTATTCGGCGAGGGTGTCGAAGTACCATTCTTTCAGGCAGGCAAGCTTACCAGTGTTAGCTGCGAGTGTGTTCTGTCAAGGGAGGGAGGATACTAACGCCATGGACTAGAATGATTGAGGGTGCGTTTTGACCGGTGGGGTAGAACCACCCGCGGAGGGTGGTGCCGTCGAGGGTTGGGAATTCGATGTCGCGGCGGTTTGGGGGTGCCATTTTTATTATTTGCTGGAGCTGGAGCTAGAGGTGTGGGATCTCTGTGTGTAGGTTGGTTGGAGAGGCATTGTGGGGGTTTATATACTCAGATGCTCTCATGGATGTGGCCTGGTTGATGTGCACTGATAGTACCCGATTCGGAAGTGCAGCTGTGGGTGATCATTGGCTCCCGGAGCTACCGTCGCACAAGAGAGGAATGATGACCGGAATGTTCGGAGCCCTGCAATAGCTTCAGGGATATAGTAGAGGCCGTATCCGTATAACCCCCGCAGACTGAGGGTTTGATTACTTGATTACTTGATTAGATATTATATAGATGGGGCATATGCAATATGCAGCTCTGAGCTTACAATTGACACTGGGGTTGTTGCATCATTCCCAATCAATGTTGTAGAACCATAAAGTCACGCAGATGTGGCCTTTGGGGATCTCTGTGGTGTATGGTATCCTATTGCGATACGGATACAGATTATTCCGTAAAAAGTAAATATTACTTTGTACCTTTTGGGGGGAGGAGATTAGTAACTCGATACAGTGTAATAAAGTGTTTCACCGGGAAAGCGATCGTCACCGGGAAAGCAATCAAGGGTGACAACGGGATGATCCAAAGTTGGTGAAGAAAGCCGAATTTATATACAATTACAGAACCAAGTAGCCAGAGGTGTTATTTAGATGTCTCCCAAATATTTTTGACATGATTTACCTCTATCTAGCAAGAGTATTGTTTCAGAGAGGTCGTTGACTGGGTTAGGGAGTGTAAGCTTTATTGACTTTACCAAATTTTGGTTTATATTCATTATCAAGTAACTCCATGATTCGGAAAGGGCACACTGAACCCTCTTATATGTGCCTGCCTTCATATATTGTGTTTTGGTGCCCACAACCTCATTTTGTGAGGTTCGGTTGCTTTCCCGGTGATGATCACTTTTCCCGTGAAACACGTTACTGCACTGATGGTGAAAATCTCTAGGTCAGATGTGTTAGGTTCTGGGAACTATAGCATCCTTAATTATCCAGATTGTGCATGGAATATCACTCGGTGGATAGCCAT